TTGTTTATAGATTTGTTTGTGCATCAATCCTGGGATACATCTTACCATTAATTCCTTACAGAATCTCTGATATCAACTTGTTTTTTCAGTGATGTACACCTTTCTCCCGAAAGTAGAGGGCGAGAAAATTTTGACAAATTGTACGATCTGGTTATATATAATTTTACTTATTATAATGCTGTACAGTTTGCAAACACATGACGCGAGTGATCTCTTTGTGGCTGGTATAGTTGTAGCTAACGTTGTATCCTTTTTTTTCTCCCGGTCCTGGCTCTAAGTCACCATGGCGCAGCAAGCTGCCGATAAGTATCTCTATGTGGATAAAAACTTCATCAATAACCCGCTGGCCCAGGCCGACTGGGCTGCCAAGAAGCTGGTATGGGTGCCTTCAGACAAGAGTGGCTTTGAGCCCGCCAGCCTCAAGGAAGAGATGGGTGAGGAGGCCATTGTGGAGCTGGTGGAGAACGGGAAGAAGGTGAAGGTGAACAAGGATGATATCCAGAAGATGAACCCACCCAAGTTCTCCAAGGTGGAGGACATGGCGGAGCTCACGTGCCTCAACGAAGCCTCGGTGCTGCACAACCTCAAGGAGCGCTACTACTCAGGGCTCATCTATGTAAGTGAGCGGGGCTCTGCACGGGTGGGAGGTTCCAGGGCTCATCTACATAAAGTGGGCGGGCTCTGCACGGGAGGGAGGCTCCAGGGCTTATTTACATAAATGAGTGGGGCTGTAGGCGGGAGGGAGGACCTGCCGAGAAGGAGATGCACTGACTGGTGTTAAGTGGAAAAGTCCTCCTTTATAGACCAGCTTCGCCCAGGCTTCTGATATGGCAGGTGGGAAGAATTGAGGCCCAGAGAGGGCAAGGGACTTATGCAGAGTCACACAGCCAGGTGCTGGCAGGCCTGAGACTGGAACTCGGGGTTCAGTATCTCTGTCTTTCTTGATGAAAATATTGTATGGACCAAATTAAAAGCCCCTGTCCCTCGGGGTATTAACCACTTAAATTCAGCATTAGTGACCTGCAGAAAAACAAACAGCCTTAAAGGAAGCATTGCTTGTCTGTGGAGGGGAGATGGGAGCTAAGTGCTGTTGTCTGGGAGGGGGACTCTCCCCTTGGCATCCTCCACTGCTTACGTTAGAACCACTCCGCTGGCTCTAAGAAATGGGTCCTGCTCAGCAAAGCAGAGTGATTCAGGTCATGGGAATTGGAGCCTCCAGGATCTGGTTCCAGTCTTGGCCCTTCCTGACCATTTGACATGGCTACGTGGGGCCTCACTTCCTCATCTATGAGGAGTCATGAAAGCATTGTAAAGCACCAGCCAGCCCTGGGCTCGCGGAGAGCCTCGGCTCTGTAGCTGCTCCCTTTTGTCGTAGGTGAAGGTAATTCCGACCCTCTGCTCGGCCTTTTATGGGTGTCGCTGTTCAGCTTGGGTCCTGTTAGAGCATTGCTGAGTGTGAAACAAGTCGGTGGCCTGCACTTGCCTATCAGCTGGCTGCAAACGGAAATATTAGGAAAGTGCATTTGACGTTAGTTACTTCATCTCTCAGAGCGTGGGTTTTACTCTAGGCAGGCATGGACCTGCGCCTACAACTCGTGGGCAGGACCAGAGCCTTTTCTCCAGAGCTCCTCAGCTGGAGGCGTTAGGCCTTAACTCCCGTTTTTGCTTCTTTGCTGGCATCTCCCGTGTGCAGATCCTCCTGCTTCAGTCCAGCCTCCTCCTTGGCATCCTCACCAAAAGGAAGTCGATTGTCTGTGCAGTTGCCCTAATGGAGACCCCCAGCAGGTGCAGAGCTGCGGGGAGATCAGAGCCGCTCGATGGGGCTGCCTGGGCAGGGGGCGCTGCCTCATTCACAGGCCCTCTCTCTGTACACGCTGTTCCAAATTGCGACCCCGGGAGCCTTTGTGCGGTGTGTCTGCCTGGCGTTGTGGGGAGCGTGGCTAATTCTGCGCCACAGCTGCTCTGTCTGTTTCTTTGGTGGGGGGAGGCCCGGGGGCAGGGGGCAGTCGGGCACAAAGAGCTTCTGTGGCCCGTGAATGGAGCAGCTCCCTGGTGTGGCCGTGTGGGAGCAGAGCCACTTGTTCAGTGTCTGTGCCTCCACGGGCCTCCAGCAGGATGAGCTCACAGTACAGCCCCTTCCTCCCACCTGAGCTGCAGTGTTCATTCCTCGGGGCTTAGTTTCATCATCCACTGATTTGATGGGATTAGCCCAGAGAACTTTGAGGTCCTCTTGAACCCCCCCATGGGACCATCTGCCCACACAGCTGTCAGAAAGGCTTGTCCTAGTAAAACCCAGGCCCCTTCTGCCGTCACCACCAGCTGTTTCCAAACATCTGGCCCCGTGGCACGCCCTAAATGTGTGGCCACGTTGTCCTTCGCTTTCATCGGGCTGGATTTCCTAGAGTGTGGGTTTTCTCAAACCCCAGGAACAAAGCTCACTTGTTTCTGAGCTCCTGGGATGACCTCGCTGCTCCCTGGCCTGCTATCTCAGCCCCACCCGACAGTCATGGAGGGAAAACCAGAGGTTTCCCGCCGTGCTCCCGTCTTCCCATAATACCCGAGCTGCAGGTTGCCAACACCTCGTGCAGACTTCTTTGCTTCAGAGCTTTCCTGGTACCTCCTGAAGAGAGTAGTTGGAGGGAGAACAATTGACTGATTATCCCAGGAAGAAGGAAGCTCAGGGCCCTGCGTCCCCTCCTCCACGCAGAAGAGGCAGTCAGGCACCCTTGTTCATTTCCAAGGTCATCTGCTCTTTTGCACGGGGGCCGGTGCGTGGTTGGTGGGTCCTTCCCGAGCTCTGCTTTCAGCCTAACTTCTGCTTGAAAAGTCCAAGACCTGTAGCCCCTGGCCAGTGCTGGGAAGGGCCTCTGTGCTCCCGACTGGTTCCTGTGTGGACCCTGTCTTTGGATTCAGCCACAAGATCCACCCTCAGTTTTGGCGAGACTGGAGTGGGCAGGGTGGAAGGGACTGGACTGACACACACCCAGCCCCTCAGATGTTGCCTGCTGTTGGATCGGGGGGCAACACTGTGGACAGTGAGGGTCGAGGCCACCTGTAGCAAGGGAAACAAAAAGATGTGAGGAGTTCGGAGAACCAGCTTCCGTGACCAAGGAGGTCTGCACTGGGGGGATTGTGGAACCTAGGTCTGCTCCCAGCTCTGCCAGGAACTGCCTCGTGGCCTTCAGCCATCACTCAACAGTCGGGGCTGCAGGTGTGAGTCACGGCTTCTGGGCCTCGCTTTGCCTGGCTTCTTCTGGGCCTGTGGCCTGTTTCCCTAGGGAGAAGGTGCTTGGGTTGCTCCAGCTACCTAAAGAAAGCTGTCCCCCCACAATGAGCACCCGTCACCTGGGTGGTCTCAGGGGGTCTCGTCCAGCTATTAGGAGTCTGTCTTTTTTTCCTTGTCGGGGAGAAGGATCTTGAAAAAAAAAAATAGTGGGAAAATTATTATTATTAGAAAAAGAGGACACTGAAGAAAGGCAGATCTGTCTAGACCGGTGCCACCGGAAACCGCTTTCCTGACCTACTCTGAGCCTCTCTCCATGGCTGTGCTGGGTGCTGTGATCCGCATAACCACTCAGTGAGGATCAACTAGTCTGCGTGTGCCCATTTTACAGATTGAGAAATGGAGGGAGAGGGAGGTTAAGAAACTTGCCCTTGCTGAGGTTTGACTCTGGGGTCTGATTTTAACCTGGTCATCTCAGACTTGGGATATCGGGTATATTCTCGGGAGCCTCACGTGGAGTGTTGACGAATTGGGTTCCCCTTCGAGAGGAGACCTGAGTCTTGGAGAAGGCTCACAGGGGACATGAAAGTGGTCTTTAAGTTTGTTTTTTGGTTTTTTTTTTAATTAATTTATTTTTATTTTATCTTCTTTTATTTTTGGCTGCGTTGGGTCTTTGTTTCTGCGCACGGGCTTTCTCTAGCTGCGGCGAGCGGGGGCTACTCTTCGTTGCAGTGTGCAGGCTTCTCATTGCAGTGGCTTCTCTTGTTGCGGAGCACGGGCTCTAGGTGCACGGGCTTCAGTAGTTACGGCTCGCGGGCTCTAGAGCACAGGCTCAGTAGTTGTGGCGCACGGGCTTAGTTGCTCTGCGGCATGTGGGATCTTCCCAGACCAGGGCTTGAACCCGTGTCCCCTGCACTGGCAGGTGGATTCTTAACCACTGCGCCACCAGGGAAGCCCCGGTCTTTAAGTTTTTTAGAGATTTTCATGTGAGTGTCTCTGGAAGGTTCCAGGGAGAGAGGTATCTGTCAGCGATCTGTCATCCCACAAAGCATCCTAGATGGTTGAGGAGTGCCATGAGTCTTTCCCAGTGCTGGGAAAGTTTAGGCTTGAATATCTCAGAGGGTCCTTAAGGGTAGAATAATTTGTATTTCCACACCGTTTGCTTGCTGCAGCCGAATCCTTTTCCCTTTGTGCATCTCTCACGATGCCAAACACATCTTTATCGTCCTTGGATCTGAGTTTCGTAACTGGACTCCTACTGTCCACGAAGCTTGCCCCAGATCTCGCCCGCTGCACACGCTTGTCAGCGTGCACGGCTGGCAGCAGTCTTGCAGTCGAGGGAGGCTCCCCTCAACTGAAAGAGCAGAGATGGTGCTGGTGCCCCAGCGCCTCGGCAGGTCTGCCGGAGTGGGGCCCGGAGAACCGGGGGCTCCAGGGGGGACTCTCACATCAGGCTGACTCGGGGTCCTTAGGGACAGCAGGCATTTTGCCACAAAGTGTGCCCGACGTTGAGAATCAGACTTGCTAACCCATTCCTGTTTGCCGCTCTTTTCTTTCAGACCTACTCAGGCCTGTTCTGTGTGGTCATCAACCCTTATAAGAACCTGCCCATCTACTCCGAAGAGATCGTGGAAATGTATAAGGGCAAGAAGAGGCATGAGATGCCTCCCCACATCTACGCCATCACAGACACCGCCTACAGGAGTATGATGCAAGGTGAGCGCCGTGGCCTTCCCAGGGGCTGAGTCTTTACCTCTAGCCTTGTTGGCATCTTTGCAGGTGCTCCTTCACGGTGATCTTGTGGCTGCATTGGTGTTGATGGCCCTGGTGAGGGGGCCGTGCATTGTGGAGGTCTGTAAGCCATTGCGTGAGAGTCAAGACCAGCGGCTATCAAAGGAGATGTTTGTATGTTGATAGAATGTTCAAGAAGCTTTAAAAAATGCATTTCCTAATTATTTTCCCAATTTCTCATTCTTGTCAGGAGCTCCTGTGCCAGTCCTCTGACTTCCAGGCCCCCTCTTCCACCAGTTACTTCCTTTCCTTCATTCTTTTCACCTCTTCTCTTCTACACAGTTTGGAAACATGCTTGAGTTTTCACATCTTTAAAAAAAAAAAAAACACACAAAGTCTCTCCTGGATTCTGTGCCCTACTGTAGGTTGTCTCTGCTCTCTCTCCCCCGTCATAGTGGAGCTTTTTAGAGGAAGTATCCGTGCTTACCACCTCTGTTCAACACTTCTCAGCCACACTCCTTGCCCTGCACGTCGTGCCCCCCATTCTGTGTGACAAAGGCCACCCTCCCTTCTGTGGAGCTCTGAGCTCTTATCTTACTTAACCTCTCCCAGGATTGGACAGTCTTACCCACTTCCTTTTGAAAGCGCTTCCTTCCTGTGACTCTCTGGTTCCCCTAATCTCTGCCTTGCCCATCTGCATGCTTCTCCCCCGTTACACCTGGTGCTTCTCAAGGTCTCGTCCTCTGGACCATGGCCCATCCACTCGAGTGGTTTCGCCATCACTTTCCAGCTGAGGACCGGCTCTGTTAGCTGATTGCTGCCAGCCACTTGCTCCCAGCTGCCATTTCTCCATCCACCCAGTCACCCAAGCCTGGAACCTGGCTCACCTTACACTGTCCCCTTTCTCTCTCACCCCTTTTTCCAAGCCAGTCAGCACTCTCTATAGATTGTATCTCTTTTAACATTTCTGACCTCCTTCCCCCTCTTGTCTCTGTGGCCCTGGCCTTAGTTCAGGCCTCTACAATTTTTTGCCTGTACTATTGCTGTGCCTCTTAACCTTTGCTCTTAATAGAGCCCTCTCTCTGTGCTTCTATCAGAGAGTCGTCTTTCTGGAATGCAAATCTGATCAAACCCCCGATTTGAACTCTTGAAAAGTCTCCTCAATTGCCCCAGAGATAACCCTTAAACCCTCCAGCAGCATACGGTGCCCTTTGTAATTGGCCTGCTGCCTACCTCTCCAACTTGCTGGCTACATGGAACTCCTTACATTTCTCCAGTAGGCCTCTCTGCCTGAAGCCGCCACGCCTGTTCCATCTGCCCTGCAATAGCTGGCAAGTCTCCAGTCTTTTGTTAAAGGCATGACTGAAGCATTACTGCCAGCCTGGGAGGATGTCTGGGCTAGCCCTAGTAATACTTTGACTTAGGTGTAGACTGGGCCCAGGTTGCCTTTATATTCTCAGAGCTTAGTCAACTCCCTAGCACAGGGCTATGTTCTCATATCTTGTATGGATAGTGGTTTTTCATGTCCTATTACATGGGCATCCTTTTTTTTTTTTTCCTTAAACTTTGTAGTCAATCTAGGTTGTGGTGGTGATGAGTCTTACCGTATTAACAACTTTGTCCCTGGTTTAGTGGTTTAAAATGGCAACGTGTGGGTCTGTCTTGTACCATCCACACAGTGCTGTGGAAGGTGTTTCATTGCCAAGCTTGGTGAATTACATAGGTTGTACACGTTTGGCCTACCCTTTGGCTCATGTTCACGTCTATCAAAATTCGTTGAAGAAGCCAGCCCTTTCGTTTTAAAGTAGGATGTCTGTTTCAGAGTGCTAACTAGAACAGTCTGGTAGGAGAACATTCTGTGGGATTCCGGAAGAGCCTGAGTCTGTCTCTAGAGGTTATGAGTCAGTTTTCTCCTTGCTCTCATAATTGGCCTCATGCAGGAAGTGCACCCTGGAGTATTCTTGAGCTCCGCACGACTGAGTTAGGGCATGTTCCCACACTTGGATCCCAGACCTGAAAGGTTTTCTAGCAAGTGGGATTTTTCACTTCTTCCCAAGCCATTATGATAAGAATAATGTAGTGATGTACAGCATGGTGCCAGGAGTCGGAGTCTCTGGAACTGAACTGCCAGCCTTTTTTCTGACAATCTGTGGGACTTCTTCCCAAAGAGATTTCGCCCAATTATTGTGTGTTCAACAACCACAAAGAATTTTGAGGGGCAAAAGTCAGCGCTATAGGTTGGATATAATTGGGGGGAAAAAAAAAAAGGAGCTTGCAGAGGACTGGAGCTTTCCTGTGTGTTGATCAGGAAGTCTTGGCCATAATGCAATGGCCTTGATGGGAACTGAGGAGCCACCCCAAGTTATGAGGGTGAATGGGTGGGTGTTTTCATCTTTTGGATATCTGTAGGCACAGGAAACCTAAGGTCTTGTTGCTTTTTTAAAATTATCTGTGTGGGTGCTGGGTCCGTGTACTTTCTAAACCTCAGTCTGAGAAGTTTTGGCCCGTTTCTGCTTCATGTTAGACCCGGTGCAGCTCTTCAGCCCCCATGTTGACCGAGGACGTTTCCAAGTTCCCTCTTGTCGCACACAGTTGACCCGCAAAGCAATCAGCAACAGATTTCTTGTTCTTGGGACAGGGAGGAAGTTAATTAACAGAAGTTGCCCTGTTAGGACAAGATGGTTCACCAGTAAAGTAAAGGAAGGTCTCGAGCGGAGCCTTTGGTGCCTGCCCTGAGTCAGGTATGGACAGTGGAGCCTTGGGGTCTGCAGGCTGTTAGAATCAGTGCCTCTCTTTTGGAGGGCGTGTCTTACTTATTAGCACATGCTGCCCCTCTGGCTTAGGGGAACACAGGTCTGTTCTCTGACACTTCCATCCTAAAAGCCACAGCCAGACAGTTCCTTTTCTGCTTTTTCTTTAAACAGGAACTAGAAAAAGATTTCCTCCCTGAGCTGGCCGTGGCTTATGACATACTAGCATTTATTCTGCCAAATAGGGGAGTTGGTGACTTTGTCTGGAGACGTTTATGAGATGAGCTCTTTGACTTCTCCCAGGGACCTCCCTCCGTCTTTCATCTCTTAAATGCTCTGGTTTGCCTGTAAGTCCTGATTTACGCCTGCTGTCTTGCAGTTAGTACTAACACTGCCCTCTCTCCCTTTCAGAAGCGCTCCCGTTTAGATGATGAATTATATGGTTACTTTACCTGTTTGTCGGACGAAGCCAGGGTTTGGGGCTGGATATCCATTCTCTGTTTTTTTTTTGGGGGGGGTGGGGAGTTTGTCCCGAGCATTATGGGATGCTTCACAGCATCTGGGCCTCTACGCACTCGATGCCAGCAGCACCCTCCCTCTGCAGTTGTGACAACCAAAAAGGCCCCTAGACATTGTTACCAAATGTTCCCTGGGGGGGCAAAATTGTCCCCACTGCAGAACCACTGGACTAAGCATTGCAGATTGGTTTTATTCTGGGCGTCAGCTCCCATCAGTAGTGCCTTGCCTAACCCTGTGTTGACAAAGGATCTGAGACTCAGTGCCGAGGAATGCTGGGATAGATTAGTGCTGTCTGCCGTGGGCACAGGTTGGGGCATGGCAGCATATGGTAGCCTGGATTAGGCCACGGAGGTAGGAGATTGGAAAGTGCCTGAATACTGAGAGGTTGAGTACATTGCTCTGGCACCGGAGGCGACGGCAATCCAGGTGGAGAGACAGACATGTTTGTACACAGGGATCTGTGGCCAAAGCTGTCTAACAGGACGAGTTGCCACCTCCACCTGGTGCCAGTGTGACTGCGGCAGGTGTCGGCTGTCTTGGGAATTCAGAGGAAGGTGTGGCCGCCGAGGCCTAGGGTGGTCGGAATGGCACCCTGGAGGTCGGCTCCTGTGGAAAGGCTGGCAGGTATATGTCAGTAAATGGTTGCAGCACAGCCCAGACGTGCCCGGCCTAGTCTTGTTTGTTTTAATCCTCAGCCTTGGGTTTAATTAAAGTTGCGGTGACCTGGTAGGTTCACCCTCCCAACCCTGGCTTTCCCGTTCGGTTAATTTGTTGTCCTGGGCATTACTGGGTCTTCCTACCTTGTGGTTGAACCGTTCCTCAGGATTCTGTAAAGCGCGGAAGGCCGGGAAAATGAGAGAGCGGGAGGCAGACGTCTGCCCTGCGGGGACAGGGTACCCAGGGCTGCCCGGGGAATTCGGGAGAAGCAGCATCGTCCGCCCTGCAGGGACAGGGTACCCAGGGCTGCCCGGGGAATTTGGGAGAAGCAGCACGTGGTCTGTCAGACGCACGGCTGGGTGGGGAAAGGGCGCTTCTGACTTCCACCCTCCGTGGGAAAGAGTGTGTGTGTTCTCACAGGAGAACTGGCCAGTTGAAGAATTTGAGCTCAGTTATCTCCCCAGGAATAGAAGAAAAAGACCCTCTTCTTTGTTAATTAGTTAGAATGCCAGGTTTGGTTCACTTTCGGTGACTTTATGGTATTTTAATGAGCTCCCAGCATTTCTGGGGGAGTGGCAGCAGGGTTTGCTCTCATTCCAGACCTAAACTAATCTAAGAACTATTTAACCCTTCGCTCTGCACTAATCCCACCTCTGCTTCTCAGCGGAAGCTGCCCCAGGAGTGGTTGGTCACCAAGGGCCCGGTGAGTGTCCACATGCCTCTTGGTGCTTGACTAACCTTTTCGGGTAAACAAGGAAGGGCAGAATTCGAACGTTCTCTTCACATCTGAGGACGATCCTCCTGCATCACAGGTAAAGGGACAGGCCCAGAAACATTAACTAACTTTGCCCAAAGGCCCACAGAGAGCCAGCCCCAGAAACCCGGTCTCCCGACTCCCGCCCTGGTGCCCATCCTCCAGGGCGCCGTGGGTCCTCCTTCTCCCTGGCTGGTGTTTGGAGGGATGCTCCCATCCTGCTGGCTGGTTAGGGCCGGAGGGGCCCTCCTGCCCCTCTCTCGTCGTTCTCCCGGCCCTGCCGCCTGTTGCCCCCGTGAAGCTGTTTGCCCTCCAAGGTCTTTCTGAGGAAAAGCTCCATGTTGGGGAGGTGCTAGGAAGTGCTTCGAGGGTCCAGCAAACCACGCCTTTGAGCAGACTCACCAGGACAGGCCGCCGAGGAAGCCGCGGATGTGATGATTCCACTTAAGCAGGAATGTGCCGGCCAGGAGGCTAAGGCCCTGCCAGGGAGCCCTGCCAGCCGGCGGCACACAAAGGCCCCGCTGTCTGAGGGAGGCCTGGAGGCAGCAGCTCACCCCGAGAGCTGCGCTCTGTCACCCCTGCCATACGGTTACCCCTGCCGCCGGCCATGCTGGACGCAGCCCCTCTGGGGCCTGCTGGGGGCAGGGGCGGCCTGGGAGGCAGGCAGGTACACTGCAGCAGGAGCGTGAGGGTCCAGCACCTGGGGGCCCACCTATCTCGGGGGCCGCCTTGACAAATGACACAGCGCTTCTGGAGTAGGTCAGCAGAAGGCGTCTGCCGGGTCTCTCTCGGCCTTAGCTTAAGGGAGAAGCTTGCCTTGTGACCAAGAAGTGTGCAGAAAAGAGAGCGCGGGGTTCAGACTGGTCGGCGTCCGGCTCTGTCACGTCCTGACCGACTGGGGTCCACTTTGGGCCTTCATTTTCTCATCTGCCTCTTGGCCAGATAAACGTACTTGGCAGGTTTACTGTCAGGATCAAACAAGGGGCCGTGCGTACGGCTCCTGGCCTGTGACAGGTGCCCATTAGAAGGTAGCAGTGGGACCTGGAGATGCAGTGTCTTAACTGAACAGCCCCTGCCTTTCGCAAGACCTGCACACGGCGTATCCCGTCCATCCACGCTCCCATTTGCATGATGAAAGTGATGACCAAGTGCTTCCTCAGGTGGCTTCTTAATCTCCTCGGTGAGCATCCTCCCAGAGGCCAGGCTCTGGGTACCAGCACGTACAGGAAGTGGCTTGTTGTAGCTGATTCCCTGTAGTGACCGTGTGATACACAGGTGTGCAGTGGCAGACGCAGCCTCTAGCTTGTCTGATGTGGTCCATGGGCCTCAGCTGGCAGCACGAGGCCTTGGGGTCGACGTGGCCTCGGGGGTCTTCAGGAGAATGCTGTGCACGCGAGAGACGGTTCCTCCGTGGCACTGGAGTCGTCCTCTGTTGATGTGCTGGTGGGCTACCAGAGGGGCGTCGTGACAGGCAGCCCTTGGCCCCCTGCCCCCACACCGAAGCCCGGACAAGGAGGCTGCTTGGTCAGGCCCCCCCAGAAGGGAAGTCGGCCCGCGGAATGAGGCTACTTAATTGTGGTCACGCCTGTCAGTCTCATTTCTATGTAACGGTTTTTGCAGAAGAGGAATCTGTGGTTAATGGGTCCTTTTCAAGGATTCAGCTTTCGGCTTGTTTTTTTTGTTTTGTTTTTAATCCAACCCAACAGGGCGGCTCTGCGATGCTCTGGGCCGGCTGAAGTGGGAAAGGAGAAAGAAGTGACCTCTCGGAACCTGAAACTTTGGCGGTGGTCGAGAACTTGGGCCCATGTCTCTGTTACTATAACCCCCCTCGCCCCAACAAACAAACAAACAACAAAAACTCACCTGCATAGTCTCTAATGGCTGAGCTGCTCTTTGCTTTTTTTTCTTTTGCAGTACGCAGGCCTCACTGCTGTGGCCTCTCCCGTTGTGGAGCACAGGCTCCGGACGCGCAGGCTCAGTGGCCATGGCTCACGGGCCCAGCCGCTCCGCGGCATGTGGGATCTTCCCGGACCGGGGCACGAACCCGTGTCCCCTGCATCGGCAGGCGGACTCTCAACCACTGCGCCGCCAGGGAAGCTTTTCGCTTTTAACTTCCCTGGCCTAGTTCCTCTCTCACTACCTGCTGAACACTGCCTAGCAGCTCGTTTTTCCTGTTTTCTCAAGTTCTGGCCCTGAGACCCCAGGAGAGCATGTCCTGGTATGTCAGGGCTGAACATTGGTGCATTTGGAGAAACGGGTTGCTTTCTTCCCCTGCCTGATTTCTGGAATTAAGCTATCAGAGGAGAACAAAGTAAATTCCCTAAAACTAAAGAGATAAAGAGAGCTGAGAGCCTGCAGGCCTAAAAGTCAGGATAATGTGAGTGGCTTCGTAAAATCCCTTCAGTCTTGACCAAGGCTAATGGCCCAGTATCGACCTTTGTAATAAATTCCGTTCTTCTGACAAACAGCGCTGACTGGGGCTCGGGGTGCCATTCCAGCTGGGCTTCCTGACTCTTGTCGAAGAGCTGGTCTCTCCAACACGAGCCGGACCGCAGACGCAAATAGGGCAGAGCTCTAAGCTGAAAGCTAAGAACAGAAGTCCTGTTCCAGGAGCAAAATCTGGCCCAACAGTTACCAGCCCATCTTTTATTTCATTTGAGCGCCCTTCTCAAGGCGACCGGAGCCACTGGCTTCTGCAGGGAGCATCTTCACGTGCCACTGTGGTTCGTCTCCTAGCATTTGTGTTCCTGGTTCTCCAGGTTTGACTGAACCTGGGAATGGGGCATTCGCAAAGCCTGCTGTCCTCCTTGGAGAGCTGTTTGTGCTCCGACTTGGAGCCAGGTTTGTCCTGAGCTTTGCCTGGCGGTGTCCATCTCATTTCCTGCTCGTGTCCCTTTGTTCTTCCTTCCTGTCCTCCCCCGAGAGCCCAGCCCTCTGCAGAGCTGTGACCTGTGGCTTAGTGCTCTCTGTACCAGACTCAGCCAGGGCCTCCTCCTGCCTGTCTTTTCTTTTCCCCGAGGGATTGTTTCAGAGCAGGGCAGAACTGGCCTCGGGGGTTGTCAGGTCCCCCCGGTGTCCTCGTGGCCTTTGCAGTGGGCCGTCTACACTCACACGTGGCTTTGGAGTCTCCCTCCATCCTGGAAGGCTCATCCTCGGCAGCAACCCCACATGAAGTTTTTGCTTCCGGCCCTGCCCGCAGGAAGGTGGATAAACAACGAGCAGTGGTTTGGGCAGGTTTGCCTGTGCGCTGGGAGCCCACCTGTGTGAGCCACCGGGTGCATTTTGGCCAAGAGAGGGCTTGTCGGGGGCCTCGCTTGCCCCCAAACAGAATGAAAGAGCAGTCCCTCGGGCTTCTTCCTAATTGTCAGGGGTGCTGGTTGGGGAGGGCTGCCCGATCTCTGTCTCCTGTACCTGGGTTTCAAACCCCGACCCTACCCGGGGGAGCATGTGGGTGGAGGCAGTGGTTGGGGCCAGCTGGCTTCTGGCCTGGAAGCTGCTGACTGAGCGTCTGCTTGGTCCGGGCCCACCCTTGTACCTGGCAAGAACATTGCTGGTGCCCACGCCGTGTGCTTGGGAGCCGCTGGCGGGCTTTCCTCCTCGCTGGCTGACCGCGGGGCAGGCAGGCAGGCAGGCTGCCAGGGCTCCGCGACACGAGGCCGCCGAGGCGTGGCACCAACCCGCAGCCTCTGCTAGCAGGAAGCATTATTTTGCACCTGCTTTTCCTCACCTCTCTGTTTGCTTCCCAAGCGCTTGTAACCCAAGCTCGTGAGTTGGGCTGGCTTTGGAGAAAGTGGCAGACAGCTTGCGAGGCCGGTGTGACACATCGTGAGTGGGGATGGCCCGTTCCGCGCAGCACTGAGGCGGGGCGGCCGGTGTGACACATCGTGAGTGGGGATGGCCCGTTCCGCGCAGCACTGAGGCGGGGCTGCCGGTGGCACAGAGGGCCCTGCCCTGTGGGAGCAAAGTGGGGAACTAGGCAGGCATCTGGAGGCCTGGGTTCTTAGCCCAGCTTACGTGACTTTGACCAAGTCATTGGGTTTCTCGGGACTTGGTGTCCTGACCTCTAGATGCAGGTGATTGGACTGCGTGCTCTCTAGAGCCTTCCCAGCCTCCAGGGTCTGAGCTCAAACCCACAGGTCTCCATGTTTTACACCTAGCGAAGTGCTTTGCATTTTGGCCCATTGGGACCAAAATGCTGCCCCGGAGTTTGCCCCAGCAGCCCGGGGCTCCCATCCCAGGTGACATGGAGCAGGGGTCCCACAGGGGTCTGCTGTGCAGTTTTCACAAGACAACCCCCTTGGTGGTGGACAGTCTGAGGCCCGCTGGCCATGGGTCGCGCCGTCTCTCACCCCACGCAGGTGTGTTGTCCAACCTGTAGCTGCCCTTGCATTCGTTTTTGCTTGGCCCGTATGCACGGCTGTCAGTTCTCGAGAAACCCGGCTGACCTGAAGACAGGTCCCGCGGGCAGGACCCTCTTCCAGGTGCCCCCAGAGAGCAGCCCCGCGGCAGCTCGGCAGGCGTTATCTTAGTGAGCGCTCTAGTGAGTCAGCCCTGGGCAGCCGCTGTCGGTGAACCGGCTCGTTCCCTTCCTCCTGTACTTCCTGTCGGGGCTGATGTCACATCGCGGCTGAGCAAGACTCGAGGCCTTTTATGGACAAGAATCGGCAGCTCCTCTCACAGAGGAAGTGAGCCAGAAGGCCCCTCGCATAAGCCCGTACCTGGGCCAAAATACCTGCGGTCAGGGCTCCCCTCCGCCCACCTGCGCCGGGGCCTTCTGAGCCGGCTGGAAACACCTGTCTGTTTGGACATCGGAATCGCTCCAAAAGGCCTCAGGGCTTTTGGGCTTTAAAATAAAATCAGGGGAGGGAATGACCTCATCACCGAATATGTAACTTAAAAGCTTTCTCGCTGTCGTCATTCCGAGGAGGCTGCGCAGTGGGGGAGCTGGGAGGTGCAAAGGGCTGGGGGTCATTAAGGACAGTTTCCAAGCGCCTGCACTGCGCCTTGCGCTTCAGGCACCCGCATCATTCGGTCCTTGGAGCGGCCCTGCCCTCTGATTCCCCAGAGGCCGAGGGGCCAGGCATCCCGAGGGGCCGTGCTGAGCGAGGATCGTGCCCCGGGCTCTAGGGCGCGCAGCCACTGGCTTTCTTCTCTCCGCCGCTGCTCCAGACACATGGACTGGCGGTTGTAAAGTGTGCTCTCAGGAGCCCCATCTCCACTGCCCAAGCAACTCTGATTTTTATTTCCTGCTCTTCATATTAGGGACTCAGGCAGATTTTTATCCTGAGGAAAGGCTGCTGCTGCTTTTAAAAGAGTTGAAAAGCCCTGAAGAGATTCGTATTCTGTCTCTACCCCGTCCCCCTCAAGTCAGTACTAGGGCAGGAGGGGTTCAGGGGCCTAAGTCAGGCTAACGTCTTCATTCTGCGGGGAGCCTGTTTCCCAGAACAGGGCTGTCTTTGGTGGGCGCACTCCCCTGGTTCTGGGCTGTCGGGTTCCTGTCTGTCTGTCTCCCTCCTCTGTTGCGGAGGAAGGAAGGGTGTTTTCAAATAAGCCTTCGGTCCACGTAGACCCAAATAAGGACTTGAGCGAACAATGGAGTGGTCTGGACTCTCGAGGGTCCGTGTCCTGAGAGCTGAGCATGTGGGGAGTGAGCATTAAGGAGGGTCCCAGGCGGAATGCACCGGGGCTCTGGCAGAGTGAACTGAGCCAGGCGGAGAGCCGGCTGGCTGCTGAGAATTCCCTCCACCCCCTACCCAGAAGAGATGCTTCTGAGCTCAGGAACCGAGCAGAAGTGTGGTGACACAGGCTTGGGCAGACCAGGGACAGCGCCTGCCTCACCTACCTCCTAAGACATTACAGACCCAAACCCACTGTAAAAACTGCGAAGAGCGACGCTGGGGGCCACAGTGTCATTCATGGTAGGCAGGTGGATTCGGGGGCACACGCTGGTGGGGGCAGAGTTGAGGAAATCAGAAAGGCTTCCCATCGCTTTTCCTCTGTGAAAGCATCTGCCCAAATGAACGTTCTGGCAAAGCAAATTAAGGCTTCTTTAAAGTGTAACATGCAAGGATTGGAGGGTTTCCTTTCACGCTGTGTTGACAGTGGTCACTTGGCTTCAGGAATTGGAGGTGGAAGGTCAGAGGGGAGGGAGAGCTGGAGATGGTGGGGTGGATGGAGGTTACATGAGGAGTTCGGGTCTGAAATTGGGATTTGCAGCGTGTGCAGGCCTGTGTGTATGTGTGTGTCTGTGTGTGTGCATCTCTGTATGCCATGCACCTGTGTGTGCACCCACAGGCGTGTGTGTGTGTGTACATGTGCCTGTGTGCACACACACGTGTCTGTACACGCTCCTAAGCATGCCTGTGTCCGTGTACATGCACTGTGTGCACGCGTGTCCACGTCCCTGCGTGTGCGCACGTGGGTCTGTGTGTGTGCGCCCACATGTGTGTGTTTTGGGGGCGCTGCTTCCCGTTGTTCAGCAGTTCAGCATCCGACTCCTTCTCACACAATCAGAGGAATTCCAGCCATCCCGGGGACCAGGCCTGGGCAGCCCTGGGAAAACAGTTCTTTCTGGGAGGGATGGGAACGTTTCCTTTTATGGTAGTGGCAGCCGCCCCGCCACCCGCCCGGCCCGTACAGGTACATTCTTGCCACTCTCCCAGCGGGGACGGAACACGCCCGCTGCTGGGCCTCTGCCTGCCGCTGGGCCTCTGCCGACATGCAGTGGGGGAGGTGCAGCCCCGTCGTAGCTGTTTTGGTTCCAGACTCATCAAGGTGGGGTGGGTGCTGGAAGCTGCCACGGCTTCCCCAGCCTTTAGCACCGCTCCCGCCGTGCCTCCCCACCAGCCCCGCCACCCCCTCCCCCCGCCCCCCGCCTTCCCTGCTGCCTTATCGGGACCCTGCCGGGTCTATGAGACTCAGCCCCTGCTGTGCAGCCTCGCAGGGCCTGGTCCTGTGGGAAAGTCGAGAGGGTGCAGCAAGGTCACCCTCTGGGTCTGCTCTGAGCCCTTGCCCGGTGCGGGGCAGGGTGTGGGCTGTGTCTGTGTGAGTGGCCGGGTTTCCTCCGCACACCCCCACCCCCACACTGTTGATATTTCCAGGGGCTGGAGGGAGGGCGGGGGCAGCTGCAGCTTGTGTTAGATGAGCGGTTTCTTTTTGCTTCTCCCTGGCTGGACTTCCTCTCTCCCTCCCGAGACAGGAGAAGAGGTGGTCGTGAATGCCCACCCGTGCAGGCTGCTGGGATCAGTGCGCTGGAGGCTTCCCTCACGGAGAGGCTGTGGCCTTGCTGCACAGTGTCTCTACTGATGCCGGACAGCTAAGTCCGTCTCCCGAGGCCATACACACAGGCAGCCCTGAGTCACCCTCCCGACGCCCTGCAGGTTCCTGGCTGGGCAGTTGAGCCGGTGTGGGTGTCTTTCCAGATCACCGACATCGGTGTCTATCCAGCACTGACACCACTGACAGCTACCAGAACCCTTGCTAGTTCTCAGCTAGTTCTCCCGCTGCCCCGACCAAGCCGTCGCCACCCGTCACAGCGACTTCACGATGGGGAAGTGGACAGACAGCAGCCGCCTGTGGGGTTCACTCTGTCTACAGGGCTCCGGGCTGGGTCCTTTTCATGTTCTTTCTGTTTTTCAAACTAATCCTGCCAGAGAGTTAGTAGCATGTTTACTTTATGGATAAGGAAACCGAGACTCGGGAATTACTGACCTCGCTGCAGCCCAGTGTTGGTCAGTAGCCTGGTCCTGGATTCAGGCTGATTTGACCTCCAGGAGGTGGGGGTCTCCCAGGCGATGGGATAAAATGAGTTTATATTTTCAGCTGTTGCTTAAAATTGGACACTCGGTCCTGAGCCAGGTCAGCCCTAATATCTTAACGCGTTTCTGCAAAACTTCTCTTTCAAAGCCTGGCATCACCGTTCCTCCTGCCTTCCAGGGGAGCGCCTTGTTTATATCCATACTTGCTGACCGGTTCACAGAGCTGGGAGAGTTGCTGAAAGTTCCTGACCCCCGGGCCTGGAGACCACAGGGCTCACAGCAACTGGTCAGAAGCTGATTCTGATGAGCCGCTGTTCTTTCCGAGCTGCCTCCAAACTCCCATTCCTGAGAGTTTTCCCCGTGCCAGACCCCACACTGGTGCTTTCACGTGTGTGACTTCCACGCATACCATCATCCCCCAGGGCTCCAGGAAGGCCGTGCCGAGACAGCATCTTAGCCCAGGCCTGTCCCACGGCAAAGCCAGCCTTGACCTCACTGCTCACCCCACGTCTCACCTGTGCCTCTTACCCAGATGGGGACAGTGTTTAAAACACCTGCCACGGCCCTCGTTTCTAACAGCGTCAACCTCCAGTTAGAAACACGCGGGGCAGGAAAGTGGACTTCCAGGGAGCTCTCCAGAGGTTGGCTTTCTCGGAGGGGGAGCAACAGAACTCTTTCAGTGTCACGGGGCCAGGTGGGCGGCCAGGGCGGGCAGTTTGAGCTCCCGGAGGAGGGAGCAGCTGCCCCATGTCGCTGCCACCCAGGAATGTCCCTCCTCCCTGTGACGGTGGCACGGAGGGCCAGCGTTCCAGGCTTCACGCTCCTGGGAAGTGGGCAGGGCGATGGGCGGCTCTTCAGAAGCCGGAGCGGGAGGCTTTTCATGTCTGCTGGAGGTTAACCTGATGTCTCTTTTGTTTCAGACCGAGAGGACCAGTCCATTCTGTGCACGTAAGTGTTTCTGTCCGGGTGGCAGGTCCTGCGTCACCCTGATCTGTTCTCACTCTTGAAGACCCCTACCAAAACCTAGGTCGATGAGATCCATGCCCAATTCAAGCCCCTGCCGCTTGCCCAAGGGCCAGGCTCCATGTTTGCTCCTTAGTAGTCCTGCAGCGTGGATGAACTTGATTTCACGGCCAGAGATTTAATCTCCTTCCTCAGAGGAGGCGGTGGGGATGAGGGTGGCAGTGTGGAGAGGGAAAGCAAGCATCTTCTCAACAAGGCAGGGTTGGGAGCTGCTTGGGCCCCCAGGACACGTTCACTCTGGTGCCGAACCGCGGCTTTCTTTATCTGGGCTTCTCACCTCCGTCCTCTGAACCTAACGAGGAGCTGATAAATAAACCCGTAGCCAAGGAAGTTAACGGCACGAAACATTCCTTCGAGTGAAGTTTCGAGGGAACATGTATAAATGCCTTTGACCCCTGAGTCGACAGCTGCCTAAAACTGACTCCTAAGACATTTGGGAGCAAAGGCTGCTAAGTGACCAGGGCAGGCAGCGGACAGAAGTTTACTCTGGTCAGGGCTGCGGAGGGCCATGGGAAACGGCCCGAGTGAGGATTTCAGAGCTTACCATTTGTTTGCCCGTCCCCTTTCCTGCTACTGGCTGTTGGGTCCCTCACTGGCACCCCACAGAATGGGAGACAGTAGAGCTCGTAGTGGGAAATGGGCAGACGCCGAGGGTTTGGCCACCTCTCCCCTGAGAACTTCCTTGGCTGTCCCGGCAGGGGCGAGTCTGGAGCTGGCAAGACGGAGAACACCAAGAAAGTCATTCAGTACCTGGCTCACGTGGCATCTTCCCACAAGAGCAAGAAGGACCAGGTGAGTGCAGGCCTTCCTCCCCGAGGAAGAGAACTCAAGGATTCGTGGTTTGGCTCAAAATGAGAGTGTTTGGGGGGCTGAAGCAGAGGCCAGGCCTGCTTTCACTGAGGCTGGGAGTGGGTCTGGTGGTAGCCCGCCCGTTTCTCCCTTGACCTGCTAACTTTGAGTCGCTATGGAAACCGGAGACCGCCCGAGGTTCGCAGCTAATGCTGCGTGGCCCCCACCTCTGAGGTCGGAAGAGAGGTTCCGAAACTTGGCTCTCAAGTTGATGGAGACGTGCAGGATCTCGGGCAGGCCTGCCCTGGAACCCCTGCTTCTGTTGCCTGCTGTTGAAGTGCCTCTGGGTGGACAGCCCCCAGCGAAGAGAGAACGGGCAGCTGGAAAGACATCTCACTTCCCTTTTTTTCCCCTCTCCCTCTTGGTGGATTGTGGTCGAACCCAGCAGTGTCCTCGCTAGGTGAGCTGCACGTTTACTGCACGTTCTACACCAGGAATGCGTGTTCTGTCCATCGTGTGCCCTTGAATTACGGTTTTTTTTTCTAAGCAGCTTTTCACCCCACACCATTGTCACTCTCTGCGTCTAGACCTCTTCTTGTAGGCTCGGCTCACTGACTGTCTTGGGAGGAGGGGCTGGGTTGTGACACACGGTGACCTCGCGTGCACTCTGAAATGACAGCTCCTGCAGAATGGGGACAGGCCTCACCGCCTAGCTGTTCTCAGATGCTCCGGTCAGGCCCAGAGTTCCCATGGGCACACGGCACAGAAGGCCCCGTGCAGAACCCTGACCGAGGCACAGCGGAGTGGTCATCTGCCCTCCTGGACCCTCACACGCTCAGTGTTCTGGACCAGATGGAGATGGGTGGCTCCCGCCTGCCACCACAGTGCCAGCCCGAAGCAGTGCCGGGAAGGCCGCGCACAAGGCTTCCCCAGAGTGAGGTGTGGTCAGTCGGAAGCATGCCCGTGTGGTGCTCTCTTTCTCTCAAGCACACACTCTTAAACTTCCCCATGAAATCTAAGTGCCAGTGGTGTCCCCTCAAGCCATCGGGGGGAACTGTGCCATCTGGGTGGCCCCCCTTCCTGGGGCGCCGTGCGCAGCCTGTATAAGTAAGTAGTGGTGTGTGTCTCTTTGCATGTGGATCTGGGGTGTGTCCTGCAGAATGTCCTAGAGCACAGTCTTCTGGCATCGAACCAAAAGTAACTTTTCATGTGTCCAACTTCGCAAGGATTCTGAATCTTTCTCCAAGAGTTATATTTAGAAACGAATCAAGTTTTCTTTTGCTCCCTCTCTCTACCCACCTCCCTCCCCCATTTTCCATTCTTTTTAGGGGACCTATTTTTAAAACAGGGCTGTGAGGTTAGGAGTTCTCTAGCTGTGGTTTTCCATCTCTGGATTTGCAGTAAAATCCATTTCCCAACTATTCATTGAATGCCTAGTATGTGCCTGGATCTCTGGAGGGTGGCCTTGGAGTCCCTGCCCTGCGGGATGGGAGGCGGTACCACAGTTAGAGAGCAGGGCTCCACGCGCCTTCCGTCATGGGCTGCTCCAGCTGCAGGGGGGAAGGCAGGCCCCCAGCACTCAGGACGGCAGGTGAGGGCTGTGACATGCAGGGGCACACTTGTCACGTCCCCTTTCTCAGGTCACTTTGTGTGGCGGGCACCCTGTCTCCGGCTCCAAGTTCAACTCGAGCGATCGAATAGGCTGCCCCTGGCTTCCCGTGACCTCTCAGGCCCTCAGTTGTAAAGGCCATTGACCAGTGTGGTTGATTTCCTTGCCTGAAGGAAATTTCCTGAAGGAAATTGCTTGAAGGGATTTCCCACACACAGCTGGGCCACGAGACACTCTTGAACTTGGTCTGCGCCCTTGTGTTCTGGGCCTGTCGCAGCATACTTTGGGGGCGTGCGCGCCCCGCCGTGACCCAGGTGCTCATCCCAAGACCGCCCGTTGGGACACCCCACACCTTACCTTGTGGGGGACTGGGCTTTGGCCAGACGGCAGGTTGGCAAAGCAGAGCTTGGTGAAGGGACTCTCCAGGTGGGCTTCCAGAGGCTGAACAGTGGCCTTTCACGCTCTTCCTCTTCCTCGCTCTGTTTTCTGTGTGCTAGTTAGAGCCCCGGGCAGAAACTCCACCCAGTGAAGCCCTTCAGGAACCGGGTGGGTAATTCCAAACCTCGTGAGCACGCACTGCCTACCTTGTAATTTCACAGTATGTGGATTTCATTGAAAAATAAAGGTCTCTTCTGTTCTCAATGAAGAGAAACCCATAGGTTAGCTGCCACCATTGTCAGCAGAGAGCTCGGCTTGGGAATCCGAGGTGGTCGCTCCTGGGTTGGCCTGGTGGTCCCACGTTCCACGGTAGCAGCCCGTGTCCCCGACAGAGGCCTTAGCTTTGCGTCCAGGCTGGCGGCAGGCTCCGGTAGGGGCCAAGCTCCCATCTGACTGCGGGAACGGGAGTGGCTCGGCCAGCCTGGCAGCCTGGCCTGTGCTTTGAGAGGATGTTGTAGCGGGTGGGTGAGCAGAGCGCATCCAAATCTGGCTCCGTGGGCTGCCTTGGCCGCCTTCCCAGGCCCGCCTGAGCCCGGGGGATGGAGGCCCAGTGTCCTATGACCGCTGGTGCCAAGCACTCCCGTAGAGCCCGCCTGTGGCTCCACTGACCCTCCTCCACTTAATCTGTGCGGTCCGAAAACAAGACTCCCCGGCCCTGGGAGGAGCCCTGACCGGGGCTGGCTGTGGGAAGAGGAGTGTCTGCCGGGGCCCCTTCTGGTGGGCTTGGCCCGACCCCAGAGCATCCTGGGTGCTCTGCCGACAGGTCTCGTCTGCGGCAGGTGTGCCTGGGAGGCTGTAGTTCACGGCTCTCCCGGGAGCCCCGGCTACTACCCGTTCTGCCCTTCGTCACAAATTACAGGCAGCCTTTATTTCCGGAAAGTCCTGGCTTGACTCCAGCCCCGCTGATAAATATAAAACCCCACCTGGCCCTTGCGTGGTGTCCTCTCTCCCTAGAGGGTGCCCGGCTATGCAGGTGAACAAGAGCCGTATTTTCCTCAGGCAGTGTTAGTTATTACCTGGCCTGCTGGCAGGATGAAAGGCCTGCCCACCTGACAGGGTAGAGCCCCCAGGTGGGGCCGGGGATGCAGGGGAGACAGGGCAGTGACTGACAGGTGTGAGGTAGAAACCTTGAATTCGATGACCTACTTTGCTGGTTGATGGCTGGATGACCTTGGGCAAATCATTCCCCCTCCCTCAACCTCTGTTTTCTCTTCTCTGAAATGGGGCTATTCTGTCTTTCCTACCCTAAGTATCGTGAGAATCCAGGGTTAAGAAGGCATAAATAAGGGAGCATGTTGTCAACCACCAGGTGTCATGAGACCCCAAGTCGGGTTTACTGGTGTTCTCGATAAGTAATTCAGAGCGCAACGTGGGCCTTGTTGGTCCCATGCTCAGATGCCTGAGCTGCTGGGAGCAGGTTTCGGGGCGGGGGGAGTGGAGGACAGGGGACCGGCAAGGGGAATGCAGAGTTTATTAGGACACGGACGAGACGAGCTGGTGTCTTCTGTGGATCTGGTTCCCTCTCTCCTTGTCCTGTGGGAAAAAAAAATTTTTTTGCGGTCTGTCAGGTGGGGATTAGAGGCAAGGAGGACAGAGGGAGGCCAGCCTACCTGGGAAGGAGACTGTCCAGGGGAAGGAATGGTGCCTTCATGTCTCTTTTTGGCTCACGTGCTACTTCGCGACGCATCCTCCAGGGTTGATCCAGGCCACTGGGCCAGGTCCCCAGAGCTAGCTGGGTGAGCCGCCTGCTTTCCTTTTCGATCCCTGGTCGGTTAGCCCAGGGAAGTAAGTTCAAACCAAGCAGGGTTTCCAGATGCCTGGCGGGAAGGTCACTCCGGAGTGACACGGGGACTGCCAAGACCGGTGTGGCCAGAGCCCATCCGGAAGCCCCAGTCCCTGGCAGGTCGGATGTGTGGACACAGCTCTGCCACCTCCCCTCCACCTGGCGGGGCAGGTCTGCCAGCCCACGCCGCTGCCTGGCCCTCACTGCCCCTCTGGGTTCCTTTCCAGGGCGAGCTGGAGCGACAGCTGCTGCAGGCCAACCCCATCCTGGAGGCCTTCGGGAACGCCAAGACCGTCAAGAACGACAACTCCTCTCGATTTGTGAGTGCTGGCGCTCGCGGGCGCCTTCCCACCGGCCGCTCGCGCCCCGGACGCGGAGAAGGGTCGGACTGGGCGCTTCCCGGCCGGCCTGTCGCGTGCAGTAGGCTAGGTCACGCACCTGTATCAGGAGCCTGCTCGGCTCAGGTGGTAAAGCCAGCGAGGCAGTGGGGAGTCCCTGCCGGTGCCCTGCTTGTCCTGCTGTAACCGGCAGCCGGTTAGAACGCAGGGCCAGACCAGGCAGGAGGAACACCTCCAGATGACTTCTTCCCTCCTCCCCTCTTCCCCTCTGTGGCGGAACTTGGGCCCGGCTCAGGCTTAGCCGTGTGGCCCTTCTGAGTCCCGAGCACCCATGCAGTTGGGGTGCGGGGCCCCTGGCCGGGGACACAGGCTCAGTCTCTTGGCTTTCTGCCTCCAGGCTGTACCACTGGAGGTGGGACTGGAGGATGGGGCCTCTGATCTCTTCATCCGTCTTTCCTTAGGGCAAGTTCATTCGCATCAACTTTGATGTCAATGGCTACATTGTGGGAGCCAACATTGAGACTTGTATCCTTGTGGTTAATTGTAACAAGTGTTCTGGGTCTGGGGGGGAGAGATGTGACCTTGATGGAGAAGAAGCTGCTTCCTGATTCCAGCAGTTTCCCCTCTCCGGGCCTGTTATGACACCTTGTCTGTGCCGCCCGGAAGAGGACCGGGATTAAGCTCACTGAGAACTCAGCTCAGAGCTCAGGTTTCTCTTTACGGGCGGGAAAAAGTTCAGCTTAGAATGGGATGGAACCACGGAAGATCATCCAGTGTGGGTCCCAGAGAGTGGAACTGGGTGGACGCTACTTTATCTCTCCCTGGTGTTAGAGCCTGTGCTGGTGAGAGTGTTCTGAGCTCTGTTCTCTTGTGAGAAGGGGGCCCTTTAAACAGATAAGGCTCCCAAGTGTGAGGGCTGCTGCCGCACAGGCTACACCCGTGGAGGGTAGGGCCAAGGTAGTTGGCCTTTGTCTTGTTTTGCCACTTTCTGCTGGTGAAGTTCCGTGGCTTTGGACAGGGCTGGGGGCATGTGGAGGGCTGGCTGCCGCCTCTCCAGCGAGCACGATTCCTTAATGTTTGCAAAGACCTCCTGGAGAAATCTCGTGCCATCCGCCAAGCCAAGGAAGAGCGGACCTTCCACATCTTCTACTACCTGCTGTCTGGGGCTGGGGAGCATCTCAAGAGTGAGTGGTGGGCCCACAGCCTGACACGGGGGCTCCCCCTGCTGGCGGGCCACACACTGCAGTTAGGAAATGAAATCTCGGCCTTTGGGTGGGCCAGAGGGGCGTGACTTCCGTCCCTGGGCCGGCTGACGGCTTGGCCTCTGTTTCCGACCACGCCAGAGGAAAGCCTGGCAGGTCCCTGTGCAGCTGCGGACCTCGGGGCCCCAGTGCTCTCAGGCGGGGGGGGGGGGTCTACGTGCGTGCCCCTCTCACACGCTGGGGAGAGTCGGCCTTTCCAGCCACTCCGCGGTTTCTGGGGTATTTCAGGGCGCTCCCCGGTCTCCCACACCTTTGAGGTCACGGTGTTGACTGGAGCCTCTGGTTCCAGCACCTCCTGACCTTCACGAAACCTTGCCCTCTGCCCCCCACAGCTGATCTCCTGCTGGAGCCGTACAGCAAATACCGCTTCCTGTCCAACGGGCACGTCACCATCCCCGGGCAGCAGGACAAGGACATGTTCCAGGAGACCATGGAGGCCATGCGGATTATGGGCATCCCAGAGGAGGAGCAGATGGGTGAGGGCCGCTCCTCCCGGGGCAGCCTGGGGAGCACTTCCTGCTGGCGCCGGCCCTTAGGGAGTCTGTAACGGCCAGGAGGAGGGCCCTGAGTGTGTGGTAGACGGTCCCTCAGATTGGAGGCTCAGGATTATTTCTTCCCGGTCGTATTGCCTGGGGACATAGGGGAACAGAGGACAGGCTACTAAGTGCCCAGGGTCTGGGTCCACCACTCGTGCTCTTGCCATTTGCTAAAAGTGGGCTAGTCCTGCTTTGTCCAGGGCGAGCGTGGAAGGGGCTTGGCTGGGGTCTCCGCGCTGGCGGAGCTCAGAGTGAACACAGTGTGCAGGTTGCCTGTGTCTTCTCGTTTCTCTAGAGGGAGGGTGAGGAGGGCCTGAAGGCTTTATTTTAGGAAGATTGGGAGACTTCCATTCTCTAGCGTTAGGGTCAGTCACCTTAGCTCCACAGATAGCATGTGAATGGATGGGCGTGGCTGTGTCCCAATAAAACTTTATAAAAATAGACCACGTGCCCCTGGGTAGAGGCGCATCCTTGGTCCGGACTTGGAGATGTTGGGAATGTTAACAGAGCTTGTATCTAAGCTGAGGTCAGCCAGAGGCCCTGGAGACATGCTTTAGGCCGAGGCCTGGCGCCCCCCACGTGGCTCGTCTTGCCTGAGGGCCTCTGGGGGGAGACACCCCACTCAGGGGCTTATTCCACCCCCCGCCTGGTTCTGACCTGCCTTCGATTGCACCTGAAGGCTTGCTGCGGGTCATCTCGGGGGTCCTCCAGCTCGGCAACATCGTCTTCAAGAAGGAGCGTAACACCGACCAGGCATCCATGCCCGACAACACAGGTGACCGCATGGGCCCCTCACCTGAGGTAGAGGGGCAGGTGCCTGGGCTTGCACTGGCTTAGGAGAAAGAGTCTTGGAGAAATTGCACACACTCCTGTCTTTTCTGTTGCGTGTGTGTTTGTGGCTGCCCGTCACTCTGCACTTTTTGTGAAACACACATGAACACGACCCTGCTGCTGCTTCACAGAGTAAGCATCAGAATGAGTTCGAAAAGCCATGATCCTATGGCCCAGCATTTCCCCTCATTTGTTCTGAGACCAGACCGGTTGTCTCTGTAAAACAGTCATTTCTGCTGTCACTTGCCTTGCACGTGAACTCGCGAGGACGTGAAGCAGTGTCGTCACCCCAGCTCCTCGGTCACTGCTCGTCCCTTGGGTCGTTGCAGGAGACTCGCTTACGTTAGCCTTCACATGCGCTTCTTAGGGGCTCTTGAAAAAATTTAACCCACGCGCGTGTGGATTGCCCTGTTCCGTCCCCTGTGTCTGGGGCAGCGCTGCCTCAAGGCAGTCCTGTTTGTGGGTAGGACCCTCATTCACACTCAGGACATGGCCAGGGGTGTGCGGAGGTACGGACGCCAGGCCCCCGGTTAGGACCCGTGCCGCCGCCTGTCTGAGGGGAGAGCTGGCTGTTCCGTGTGCCGTGGGGGAAGGGCCGGGGCCCGGGCTGGTTGTCCGGTAACGATCGCCCAGTCACCACAACTTTCCCAGGGTGAGCAGAGGGACCCGTTCTCTTGGGTTTAATTGAAGCCTTTTACCCCTTCCCTCCTTACCCTTTGAAAATCGTCAGCTGCCCAAAAAGTGTCCCACCTGTTGGGTATCAACGTGACCGATTTCACCAGAGGAATCCTCACCCCTCGCATCAAGGTGGGACGGGATTACGTCCAGAAGGCTCAGACGAAGGAGCAGGTAAGCCCTCTGGCTGGGGTCGGGCTGCTGCAGTGGCCAGGTTGAGGCCTGCGCTGCAGCATCCTCGGTGTTCGGTACTGTCGCCTGGGTTCCTCACTGGGTCCTCACAGCACCTCGGAGAGCAGGTGGTGTTACCCCCACTGAGAGCACAAGGAAGCTGGGACCAGGGTCCAGGAACATGGCCAAGGCCCCCGCCTAGGAAGCGCCGCCCTCGGTGGGAACTCTGGGCTGCCATGTGCCTGTTCCCTGGAGTCAATGTTGAGCTGATGGGTGGGCGAGGATGCAGGGGTATCCTGTTCCAGGATAAAGCGAGGCAAGCCCAGAGCGTTCCTGTAGCACAACTCATCCTGGTGCCAGGGCGGCGGCACCCGCCATTCTTGGAGCCCAGGCCTCAGGGCTGTCTGTCCCCCACGTGCTGTCCTGCCGCACGTGGCGAGAGCCGGGCAGGGGTCTGTGCTGCTCGCACGTGCCCGCCGCCCAGGACCCGAGTCCCTGCCCGCAGGGCCTCTGTGGGTGGTTTCTAGTTTCTCTCACGGCCCTGGCGCTGGGTGGTTTTAGGCCGCTGCTCCTCCCGTCTCTCAAAATTACTTTGAATTCACGTTGATGAGTTCTTTTTCCAAAGGGTGCCGTCCACTGGGCCTCCCGCTGGTGGCTGACAGCTGATGCTGGGCAAAGCCCTCCCTCCAAAGCTGTTTTCAGAAGACAGCGGGCATGATTATGACCAACTGTTCATTTCCCTGATAATTAAAGCAGCTTAATTTTTTCATTATGAAAATACTACATGAACACTTAAGATTCAGAAAAATCAAAGAAGTCTAGAGATGGAAAAAAATTGCCCCAGTCCTACCCAGTGATGCTTACTGGGCAGCTTTTTCCTTCCTGCAAGGCCTTTTCCTTCCTTCTTTTTTTTTAAACTACTCTTTTTTTTTTTTAATTTACTTATTTATTTATTTTTTGGCTGCATTGGGTCTTCATTGCTGTGCGCGGGCTTTCTCTAGATGCGGCGAGCGGGGGCTGCTCTTCGTTGCGTGCGCGGGCTTCTCATTGCAGTGGCTTCTCTTGTTGCAGAGCACTGGCTCTAGCTACGCGGGCTTCAGTAGTTGTGGCTCACGGGCCGTAGAGCACAGGCTCAGTAGTTGTGGCGCACAGGCTTAGTTGCTCCGTGGTGTATAGGATCTTCCCGGACCAGGGCTCAAACCCGTGTCCCCTGCATTGGCAGGCGGATTCGTAACCACTGTGCCACCAGGGAAGCCCCCTTTTTTTCCTTTTTAAACGTAGTCGTCACCTTGGCTTTTCATTACGGAACTTCTTGAACATTTGCACAGTAAAGTGGAGAACAGCGCAGGGAGCCCATGTGCCCATCACACAGGCGTCTTCAGGAGTCACTGACTCAAGGCCAAGCTTGGTTCCTGGTTCATCTGGTCGCCCTGCACCCCTAACTGTGTAACTTGAAGCAAATCTCGGACATCTTGTCATTTCTTCTGTAGATACTTCAGTTCGTCTCCATTTATTTTGAAAAGGTCTTTGCAGATGTCTGAGTTCACTCTGCCTGTATTGTGGATATTTAGGTTACTGCAGCTTCCTTCGTTGTAGACAACACCACAGTGAACGTATTTGTGCATGAAGCTTTTTTTCCATCCTTAGGGCTGTTTCTCTTGGTGGGGGGGGGCGGCCCACAGGGGACATTATTGGGGCAGAGGGAATGAGGACCTAAAGGCTTCCTGTATCTGACTCCCCGCCCCCCCGGGTGTCCCCCCCACCAGGCTGACTTTGCCATTGAGGCCTTGGCCAAGGCCACCTACGAGCGCATGTTCCGCTGGCTGGTCCTGCGCATCAACAAGGCTCTGGACAAGACCAAGAGGCAGGGCGCCTCGTTCATCGGGATCCTGGACATCGCCGGCTTCGAGATCTTCGATGTGAGCTTCTCCCTTTACCCCTCCCGCCTCCTGAGCCTCTGGGCTGCCTTCTCCCGGGACTGGGGTCCTTTCTCCCATAGCCCCACAGCAATGCGAGCTGGCCACCTCCCTGCTTGTGTGGAGACACGAGACGCCGGTTGGGTGTATTTTTAGCTTAAACAAGATGCCCGGTGGGGTGAATTGGGAGATTGGGATTGACATATATACACTAATATGTATAAAGTGGATAACTAATAAGAACCTTCTGTATAAAAAAATAAAATAAAATAAAATTCAAAACTTAAAAAAAAAAAAGAAAAGATGCCCTTTGCCAACCAGAAATGCTGGCAAGAATGATACCTTCTGGATGGGGTTCCAGGAGGCCTCACGGACAGGGGCTTTCTGTTGATTTATTATTTATGTATTCTCAAATATTATGAGCGTTGTGACAAGTTATTGTCCCTGCGCATAAAGACTTCAGGTAGGAAAAACTGATAAAGTAGATCAGCAGAGGTACTTAACCTGGGGTCCATGGCAGATTTCAGAGGAACCATGAACGTGGGTGGGGAAAAAAAATCACCTCTTTATTTTTACTAACTTTTCCTTGAAATGATGCAGTGTTTTGAATTGTGGCTTGAGCAGAGTGTGCAGACCTCAGTTGCATTAACAGTGGTTGGATGTGTCACCACTAGAAATCAGACGTTTTCACATCACAGCAGTCATTGAAGAGATATAATATCATTTACGTTCGTCTCCTTCAAAATTCTGGAAGTTATTAAGCCCGTGGCTTGTGCCTTTTAATGAAGGAGCACCGTGTATTCCTGTCACAATATTTTGATAATTACATTTCCACATAACTTCTTTCTTTTAGAATCTATTTTATGCGTTTAAAAACTTTATCCGGAGATAAGGGACTTTACAGGCTGTGGCGAGGTCCGTGGGCCCCAGGAGGTCCTTGCCAAGGGACTTGCAGGCCGTGTAGCGGGAGGGTGGGCACGTCTGTGACCCTGTCTCCCTCTTGCAGCTGAACTCCTTCGAGCAGCTGTGCATCAACTACACCAACGAGAAGCTGCAGCAGCTCTTCAACCACACCATGTTCATCCTGGAGCAGGAGGAGTACCAGCGCGAGGGCATCGAGTGGAACTTCATCGACTTCGGCCTCGACCTGCAGCCCTGCATCGACCTCATCGAGAAGCCAGTAAGAGCCACACCTGGGGGGGGGGCTTCACCCCCGCCTTCTTCGCTCTGCCCTTCTGGGGCTGGAACTACCCAGAATTCTGACATGAAACGATTTGCTTTTGCGATGAGTTTTTTTTTCATCAGTTGCATTTTCTAACAAACGAGAACCCATGTGGCTCCCAGGCCTGTCAGCCAGTCCCCACGATGTCCGAATCTGCTCTCTTGTTCTATAAACTCAGTGTACGGAAGGCTTTGGGGCTCTGGGGTGCTTCCTCCTCCTCGGGAGGCTTGTCCTAAGTGTCACCTGTCACCATGTAGCTGTGTGGATATGGAGGGCGGGGGAGGGGATGCGGAGGGACTCAGGGAACGGGGCATCTGCTGGGGGCAGCCTCTGGACGTGGGCCGGGGGTCTGCTTGGCCCATCAAGCCCGCCAAGGGATTTCCAGTGCACTCATTGGAGAACCCTTCTGATGCAGCTGTAGCCTAGATCCCAGAAGTTTCTTTTGAGCTAGAGCTCTTAAATTGAGTGCTTTCGGCAGTGCTTCTTCTTCTTCTTCTTCTTCTGTTTTGTTTTTCCTCCCTACGGGGAAGCACTGCCTACCTTCTGGAGAGATTCTGGGCTTTGGCATCTTACGAGGGCAGGAATGGGTGGGTTTCCAGGTCGAGCTCACCCGTGCGACGCTGTGCTTCCTCCAGGCAGGCCCCCCAGGCATCCTGGCCCTGCTGGACGAGGAGTGCTGGTTCCCCAAAGCCACGGACAAGAGTTTCGTGGAGAAGGTGGTGCAGGAGCAGGGCACCCACCCCAAGTTCCAGAAGCCCAAGCAGCTGAAGGACAAAGCTGATTTCTGCATCATCCACTACGCTGGCAAGGTGAGGCGCCCACGCACAGGAAGGTGTCGGCCGGACCTGTGTAGGAGACTTAGAGGCGATTCTAAGACCGGGAGCCCCGAGGTGTGGGGCGGGGCGCGGTATCCTTGTCCCGTGACTCGTCCGATAATGTGCCTGGTGCCTTCAGCATTCACGGGACTCCCCCACCTCGCCAAGCACCATCGCGTGTTCCGTTTTGTTAGAAGCTTGCAGCGATCCTGTGAGGTGCTCAGGCTGGTGTCCTGTTGTGTGTCATCATTAGGTGCGTTTTCCAGGCGCGGAAATGAGATTTGTGCTAAAGGCGCAGGCCGTGGAGTCTGTGTTAGAGCTCTGCCCCTGTGTGACTTTGGGCTGCTTCCCTCACTTCTCTGAGCCTTGGTCGAGTCGCATGGAAAGTGGGGGTGACCACCACGGAACTGGGTAACAGGGATTAAAGGAGCTTGTGAGCCCAGAGTCGGCGGTCGGTGCTCTGGGGCAGGGCCTCTCCGCCTCCACACTGCCCACTCGGGGGCCGGGTCAGTCTGTGGTCGGGGCCCGTCCTGTGTGATGCGGGATGTTTAGCAGCGTCTCTGGCTTCTCCCCACCAGAGGTAGCAGCACCCTCCCTACTTGCCAAACCAGAAATGTCTCCAGACACCCCAGAACATCCGCCACATGGGGGTGGCACAGTCCTCTGGGTGAGACACACCCATAGAGGATGGCTTTATTGCCAAGGCCACCGGCCAGTAAGTGGCAGGGCTGCCTTCACACCAGCTGGAACACATCCTCCAGCTGACTTGTTCCTGGGGCTTGAACCTAACTGAACAGGGATGTCCTGAGTCTGCAGAGGTCCGTGCTTAGACTGAAGCTGGGTTTTCTCAGCAAATTGTGTTGCTTGCATGGAGTATCTAACTATTGGTTACACTCGGGTGTGTGATGAGATTTATTTATTTTGGGGGGCTGTGCCGTGCGGCTTGCAGGATCTTAATTCACCAACCAGGGATCGAACCCGGGCCCACAGCAGCGAAAGTGCCTAGTCCTAACCACTGGACCACCAGGGAATTCCCACAAACTCCCTGTTTAGAAAACCTCTGTTTTCTCGTTACCTAAGGTAATGGCGCCGAAAGCCCCATTTCCACTTCCACCCCTGTTAGAAATGTAGGAGGGCTTTTGTTGCACTGTGGTCTGCGATGCAGAAACTGGGTACACGCAAAAGCCCACGAGGGGCCTGAACGGTGAAACTGACGTGTGCATCCTCGCCTGCGTTGCACCGCAGCAGCTAAAAGGACAATGATGCTGCCTGTGCCCGGGGGACAGATGGCCGAGACACTCAGCTCCAGGGTTTGTCAGCTCCCAGGAGGTAACTCTGCCCCTAGGGAGAAAGAAGCCACCATCCTGTACCTTGTCATCAGTAGCAGTGCGTGTGCGGAAACCTGTCGAAAGGGGCCAGGAGGGGACCACAGGCTGAGAGCGGCGGTTACTGCTGTGGGGTTTAGGACGGGGGTTGCAGCAGCTTCCCGCTCTGTTTGTATTGTTAGAATACATAATGTTGTACCACTCTTGTTATTAAGGACATATTTCAAAAAAGATAAGAATAGGGGGCTTCCCTGGTGGCACAGTGGTTAAGAATCCGCCTGCCAATGCAGGGAACACGGGTTCGAGCCCTGGTCTGGGAAGATCCCACATGCTGCGGAGCAGCTAAGCCCGTGCGCCACAACTACTGAGCCCGGGAGCCACAACTACTGAGCCCACGTGCTGCAACTACTGAAGCCCGCGTGCCTAGAGCCCGTGCTCCGCAACAAGAGAAGCCACCGCAATGAGAAGCTGGTGCGCCGCAACTAGAGAAAGCCCGCGCGCAGCAACAAAGACCCAACTCAGCCAAAACTAAAATAAATTAATTAAAACAGAAAAAAAGATAAGAATAACGCATATCCAGGAAAACCTGGGTATCCTGAAATGACAAAGAAAAAGTAAAACTTACTTGCCTGTTACTAAAAAGAAATATTACCACATTTTGGTTAACGTCCTTTCAGGATTTTTTCTTTATGTTCACGTTACCTTAAAAAAATTAAAAACAGAACATTCCGTGGTATAACTATAACCGTTTGCTTGGGGTTCGCGTGGCTTAAATTTTTTGCTTTCTGCGTGATTCCGCAGAGAACACCCCATGGAGGCCTCCGCCCTGGCCACTCATCATTTCCTCCTTGGGGATGCAGATGCCGGGCCGAGGGTTCACAGTTTTTAATGTTTCCGCCTGTGGGGTCGGCTGGTCATCGGAGAGGCTGCGCGCGCCGAAGTCCCCCAAGCAGCCCGTGACCTGGGGTCCCGTCTTGCAGGTGGATTACAAAGCTGACGAGTGGCTGATGAAGAATATGGACCCGCTGAACGACAACATCGCCACGCTGCTGCACCAGTCCTCCGACAAGTTCGTCTCGGAGCTGTGGAAGGATGGTACGCCCTTGGCCCTCACCCCGCCTCCCGGTGCCCCCGGCTGGGCCTCTTCCCTCCACGGCAGCAGGCCGAGCCCAGGACGTGGACCGCTTAGCACCCGGGAGCCTGGGCTCCTCCGACCCTTACGGTCACCCTGTCCTTGAGCCCCGAGCATCCTTGAACATGCTGCGCAGCCACTTGCTCTTGGGCAGAGGCTTCCCTGGGCTCCGCGGCCACAGACAAGCCCTTTCTAGCGCGGGGGGTCGCGTGACGGCCCGGCGCCCAGGTTCCCGTCCCACTCCTTACTGCCTCCCTGCCTCTCCCCGGTAGCTGGTAGCTCCGGGAGTCGTTCTTTTCCTTGTCTCTGCTGGTCTCTCCTCCCTTCTGCCTGGGTGTTGCTTTAACCTCTCTGTTGCAGAGACGCAGAGCACCCAGAGAGCCCATTTCTATCAGCGCTTTCCTACCCTCCTCCTCCTAGAACCAGGTGACTGGCTGCCCGGTGCGGCGTCCGTCCGTGTGTGGTGCACCCAGGGCTGCGTGACGAGCGCTTCTGCTCAGCGTTCTCTGCCGTGGCTGCTGCTGCCTGACTGTGCCCCTTCCCTGGTCTCGGCCCCGGGCTTGTGGGGAGGCCCCTTCCCCCTCCCCATCGCCTCCAGGCCTCCAGTGCAAAACCAGGCACATCAGGGCCGTGTTTTGGTATTGACACTTCTTGTTAGATCTTAAAAGGAAAAAAAAATCATTTTACAATCTATATCCCCTTCAGAACTCCCGCTCGTGAAGGCGGCGTCTCATTGATTGGATGGCTGCCATGTCTCAGCACGAGGTGCTGTGCGCACTGCCGTTACACGTTCGTGTGTCTGTGCGTGCGTGCACCTGTGTGTGTACGCAGCAGTCACCTGCTCCTCCCGGGCCAGGCCTTCCGGGGGCAGGGCACACTTACATGAAACGGCGAGTTGTTACGGGGCGTGTTTGACCTCACGCTGGGCAACCTGAGTGGCCGTCACAAGCCACCCACTCCCAGGACACCTTTGGTGGCCAGAGGGGCCCTGCGGTGGCTGCATGAGGTCCAGATGCCTCCCGTTTTAATTGAGAGGGTTCATCGGGTCCATCCTCACTCCCAGCGTCCCTCTTGAGCAACAGTCCTTTGTGTTGCCTTCAAAAAAATAAGAGATCTGGCCGCAGAGGAATAGGAAACCGACTTTGTCACAGAATTCTTAACTTTTGTAGCCAGCAATGGAAGCTTTCAAATTTAACATTGGCTCTTGCTTAAGACTGGCCTCAAATCGCCGGCCACTTAGGTTGGGTTTGTTCGTTGTTTTGTTTCCGCCTGGGAGGAAGCAGTTCATTTCATTGTTCTGGGTGGGAGCCACGGTGATGAGGGCTTCTTCCTTGGAGGGTGGGCTTAGATGATAAAGACCCCTGAGCTTGGAGACCAGGGGAGACGAGAGGGAGAAGGGGTCGTCACTGGCAGAAGTGGTTGTCTGGAACTCTCTGCTCCGACACCATTCCTGCTGCGCTAGGTCCCTGATGTAGAGAGCCCTGCGTGGGGCCGCTGCAGACAGAGAGGGGCTCGTCCAGAGTCCTGCAGGCGACGGCAGAGTAGCTTTAGAGCTCCTGCCTTCTGACTCCTAGCCCAGTGCTCTCGGGTAAAGGTCAACGTGAATTCAGGGTGCTGAGTTTTTCATTTCATCTGGGATCCGAGGACTACAGGGTTCCTGTAAGTCAAGTTGAACACCTCCTCGGAGCCAGGCAAGTGGACGAGCTTGGCTCGCCGCTCCAAAATGCGTTATTAGGTCTGTTTTCTTTTTACAGTTATTCTCATAGCAAAGGGTTGTTATTCACCAGCCATCACAACACTCACCAAAAGGCTACACAGCTCCTGTCAACTTATCTGAATCGCAGCTAGTGTGAAAGGGGATTCTGTTTTGTTTTGTTTTGTTTTGGAGTATAATTGCTTTACAATGTTGTGTTAGTTTCTGCTGTACAATGAAGTGAATTAGCTATATGTACACCTATATGTCCTCCCTCCCACCCCCATCCTCCACCCTCAACACACACACATCCCCCCCATCTAGGTCGTCACAGAGCACTGAGCTGAACTTCCTGTGCTTCCAGGTTCCCACTAGCTATCTGTTTTACACATGGTAGTGTATAAACGTCAATCCTATCTCCCAGTGTTAGCTCTGTCGTGTCTCTGGGTTAGGAGCTTTCCAGGGTGGCTGAGATGAGCGCCGTGGATGTGGAGTTAGCCTTCACAGGTGCGCTGCTCCCCTCAGTGGCTCTGCACCCTTTCCAAAGAGTGCTTCCTGCTTTCTGCTCCTTGCTCACAAGGCCACCTTCGCTCAACATTTGGAGATGACTTTAGCCTGCTGTGTAGACTCCAAGTAGAAACAGTCTGCTGTTCCGTAGTCTCCTCTCTTTCTGTCCAGATTGTCTGTCTGTCTTTCTCACCCCTCCGCCCTCACCTGGACCGCCGGGTACTCAAGTGCTTCTGCGTGCTCTCTGCAGTGGACCGCATCATCGGCCTGGACCAGGTGGCCGGCATGTCGGAGACGGCGCTGCCAGGGGCCTTCAAGACACGCAAGGGCATGTTCCGCACGGTGGGACAGCTGTACAAGGAGCAGCTGGTCAAGCTCATGGCCACGCTGAGGAACACCAACCCCAACTTCGTCCGCTGCATCATCCCCAACCACGAGAAGAAGGTGCGGGCGGGCACACATGCGGGCCACTCCACTCTTGTCTGTCTCCCTGTGCAGAAGCTCTGTCCCCCGCCGCGCACAGTGGCCTCGGTTAAGTTCCCCGGCGGGGTGGCTCAGGCACCCTTAGGGGCTAAGCTGCCTTCGTAGCCTGTGTTTCTGCCTCTCCCGGACCTGGATCACGTAATTAACTGGGCTGTCAAAACCTGTGGGCGGCAGCGACTTCCCAACTCCCTTGGGGGCTTTTGCCCTGTTTCATGCAGAGGGGGCTGCCCCTCTCTCCATCAGTTCCTGGGCGCAGAAGTGAGAGCAGGTGCGTGTATTTTCCTCCCTAGGCTGGCAAGCTGGACCCCCATCTGGTGCTGGACCAGCTGCGCTGCAACGGGGTCCTCGAGGGCATCCGAATCTGCCGCCAGGGCTTCCCCAACCGCGTGGTCTTCCAGGAGTTCCGGCAGAGGTGAGCAGGGCCCAGGGCCGGCTGCATCCCAGCAGGGGCCTCCGGTAGGGGAGCCGTTTCCTCGTCCACATGGTGCTGAGTTCCGACCGGCTCCTCACACGGTTCTCTGTGCCACCGTCTGTGGGAGGAGGGCTTTCTCTGTTTTGTTTCTGAAACAAAAGTTATCTCATTGGCTTTCACTCCTAGTCACTTTGGGAGCCTGGCGCTGTTTGCTACAGTTAGAGGAGCTCTGAAAAGAAATTAAAGGAGGATCAGCCGGACCCTTGGGTGTTAAAGGAACTTGATGGAAATGGAAGTCTGCTGTGTGTGCAGAAGGGGGACAGTAGTGACACCGGCTTCTTTGCTTAATGACTGTGTTTAGTGCCAGTTACTGTCTTGATGCAGCCCTGAGTTTAATTTCTTGGACCACCCCGTTGATTGGTGGTTCCCTGCAGCGTCTCAGTGAAGAGGTGGGCATGGCCTTCTGGGGTTACAGACGCGGATGCTGGGTGATTAGCAGTTAGTAAGCCCACTGCAAAACTCACCCTTGAGTGAATGAAACAGCCCGACATGAGTTTCCATTCGCTTTCTGGAAAGCACCAGGCATTCCTCGTGCCATTTAGCCTAAGGAAAGAGCAGGGCGGGGTCCACCGAATGTCCCCTTTCCTTAGGAGACTCTGTGGAAAGAATTCTACATCCGCTACACCCCAGGGACGACCCTAATCTCACGTGTGTTCCAGGCCACATGGAATCCAAGCGAGGGCTAACCTGACCTGGCTGTCCTTCTCTTCCTCAGATACGAGATCCTGACACCAAATTCCATTCCTAAGGGCTTCATGGATGGGAAGCAGGCGTGTGTGCTCATGGTGAGTCGAGCTGCTGGCCCCGCCTCCTGTGTTGGGTGGCCTGTGGCCTGCTGGGCATCCGTGTGGCCAGCGCCCCTGTGATTGGACAGGGTCCTTTGCATCCATTGGCACCGTGCTCTCTTGTTCCTCCAACAAGCCAGTTCTGACTCTGCCAGGTGCCCTGAGCGGCAGCCCCCTTAGCCCTTGGTGGGGTCAGGACAGCGTGTGGGAGCCAGGTGGGAGGGAGGAGGCCAGAGCGCGGCGTGGCAAGGCTGTGGTGTGAGACGGCCTCTTCCTTTTGGGCACGTTCTGGTTCTTTCTTGCGCACGTCTCCTCCGGTCTTCACGTGCAGTGTGGTCGGCGGGGCAGCTTGCCACCAGGGCGCCACGACCAGCCCAAAGCTGCCGGTGTCTGAGTTTCTGGACCTTTCCTCTCTTTCCCCCAGCTCTGAACCAGTGCCTGACGGGCAGTGGGCACTGGATTCTGCATAGCGAATGAAGGCCCTGTGGTGACCCAGTGGCCGCGCTGCGGCTGTACCCACTCAGTCGTTTTTCTGCTTTGCAGGCAGGCGTCCCGCTGGGCCTGACGTGTCCAGAGTCAGTAGCCACCACCTCCTGCTTGCTTTACTTCGCGTTCTTTCCAAAGAGTCAGCAGAGGATAGGCCGGGCTTGGGGGTGGGGGAGGAAAGAGAAGAGGGAAGAAAAATTCAACACCTGCTCTGTGCAAAGCAGCACATTAAGGGACAGGGAGATGGGGGCTAGAAAAGGAGGGAGAAGACACAGCTCCCTGCTCTCCGATGCTTGTCACCTGGCAGAGAGGAGGCGTGAAGGAAGAAGGGTGTGCCTCCAGCTCGTGTCTGGGCCGCTGTTTCTCCAGAGGCTGAGTTAGCTGCTGGCCAGTGAGGGGTGTCCCCACTTCTGGCATAAGCAGGTCCCCTCCGTCCAGCCCTGCAGGGAAGATGGGCAGCTTGGGCTCTTCATGCCGGGAGGGAGGTGGGGCGCGTGGCCGGGGGATGCCCTCAGTGGCTCCACCTGCCCTGGGCTTCCCTCTTCACAGGGCCTCTGCCGGGTTGTTCGTGGACACCAAGGCCCCCAGATCCCACTTACCCTATTCAAGGCTCTGCCTCTTGGAGCTTGTTCTAAATCTCTTCTCTCCCAGGCAGACAGTTGGACAGACAGACCCTTGCCAGTGGGCTTAGTAAAAGAGCCTGGTTCCTGTACCAGAACAGCCCGGTAATGGTGATGACGGCTGAAGCCCGTTCGGCACTGGTCACACGCTTGACCCTGTGCTAGGTGCTTTCTGTGCGTTCTCTTGTTTGACTCCCACGGCTCTCCTAGAAAGGAGGTGCTATTATTTGCTTTGTTTGTTAACTTTTCTTTTAATTAAAGAAACCGTTCTTCCCATTTTACAGCTGAGGAAATATGGGCTCACGGAGGTTAAGGCCTAGGGTCATCTAGTTAGTATTTGATCCTGGCCTGAGCTGGAGTCTCTGCTGGGCTTGGACCAAACAATGATGCTTGGCCACCTCTGCTTGGAGGGAGACTTGACTGGGCATTTGTAGAGCGTGACGGCAGTGTGCGGGGCGGCACAGAGAAGGAAGAGGAGACCTCCAGGGTCCCTTCAGGGCCGAGATTCTGTGCTTCTCTGCAAGTCTGACTCGTTACCTGCCCCATGCCGGCCCCCACCTGCCTGCTCCCCAGCGTGCCCCCAGCCGCGCTTTCCCTGCACCAGGAGAAGGCTGCCCACAGAGCAGGCCTGACCCAGGCTCCAGGCCCCTCCCCCGTCCTTGGCCTTGCTCCAGGGCTCCGCAGGGGTGGCAAGGGGTAAGTGGCCAACTCGCCTCCGTCTAGATCAAAGCCCTGGAGCTCGACAGCAACCTGTACCGCATCGGCCAGAGCAAGGTCTTCTTCCGGGCCGGCGTGCTGGCTCACCTGGAGGAGGAACGGGACCTGAAGATCACGGACGTCATCATCGGCTTCCAGGCCTGCTGCAGGGGCTACCTGGCCAGAAAGTGAGTCCTGGGACGCCCACCCCACCCAGCCTGCCCTGCGCTCGGGCCCTCCCAGCTCTCCTGTAGCGGAGGACACTGAGGAAGCGGTGGCCTGGGCGCCCTAGTGCCAGTCAGGTGTCGCCCGGGGAGGCCCCCGCGGCCTTCCCTGCCCCCCTACTTCCTGGATTTCTGCCTGAGGTTTAAAGTGAGCTGGTGGGAGGGGTGACTGCGCTTGGATTTGCTCGTCACGAAAGCTCCTACCACCGCTATTCCTTCCTGTGTCCCTCACGTAAGGATGACACCCAGAGCCGGCTGTCCCCAGAGGACGCCGTGCTCCCAGAGGAGGAGGCCATCCTTGAGTCCCGAGCAGCTCCTGTGGGGGTCAGGGGCTGACTTGCTGCGGGAAGGTGGGTGGGGCAGCTGCACATCTGTCCCCTGAGCCCTCCGTGTCTGTGCTCAGGGGTGTCTGTTCCAGCCTGAGATCTGAGCGCTGGGGGACGCAGCATGAGTTTGTGGAGTTTGGACAAATGGACCTGTGTAGGACATCAGCTGCGGACGTTCTCCCTCTAAACCAAAGCCACAAGATCGTGGGTGGTACCAGGGTGGGGAGCTGCGGTCGATAGACGGACTTGATGACCAGGGCTCACACTTGACTCGGATCTGTGGTGACCTCGGCCCCAGGCACCCTCTGTGAGGTCACCCACAGGATTCAACCCGAAGCCGACCTCCTTCCCGCCACGTCTGTTTCGTGGTGCCCCCGGCAGGGGTCGGTCCCTCCGGAAAAGCCTCCACAAGTGAGGTCAGGACTGTCGGGAGGGAGGTGTGCTGTCCCCCACCTGGAGGGCTGACTGTGACCCTCGCCCCACAGGGCCTTCGCCAAGAGGCAGCAGCAGCTGACGGCCATGAAAGTCCTGCAGAGGAACTGTGCCGCCTACCTCAAGCTGCGCAACTGGCAGTGGTGGCGGCTCTTCACCAAGGTGGGTCTGGAAGGGCCTCCGCGTGACACGGGGGACGAGCAGGCCTCACGCTGGCCTCCTGCAGGGCTCAGGCCCTGGGGCTGATCCTGCCCATGGGGTCTAGAGGGGTGTGAGCCGGGGCACGTGTCTGGCGTGGACGGCCACGGTGCTATCAGGCTGGGCTAGGGCAGCTCCTGGGATGTCAGGGCCCAGCCCGCCCACCACGGCTCCACGTGGAGACAGAGCTGCCCACCCAGAAACCACGGGCAGGTCAGAATCTGCGCCCGCTGGATGGGTCCTCCCTAGCCTTTACAAAAAATTCGTTCATTAGTAAAGTTGTTCAGGCTGCTTTTGTTTATGATAAGTAATCTGTGGTAATTGCGAAAAGTTAGACTAACCACAAGGGTAAACAAGAAAATAAATATTCACCTATAAACCCTTCATCCTTGTGCCAACGTCAATATTGAATAGATGTTTCCATGTTTAGTCTGCTTTTAAAAAATTTTTTTTTCACTCCCAGTAAATCTCTGCTGTGTAAACCACAAACGTTCTTACGTAGCTGAGCTTTGACTTGTATAAACAGTCATGTACTTTGCATTTTGCATCTAAAATTCCTTCATGAGCATCATTTTTTAAAAGTCAGCATACTGTTCCCTAGAGCTGTTTCATAATTTATCTGACTATTTTTCCAGCAGTGGATGTTTATCTCTCTGAAATTTTCACTGTTATAAACAACGCTGTCCTGAACATCTTCACGTACACATAGGGGTAGTTTCCCCGAAACGTAGTTAGTGGGTCAGAGGCCTATGGCACGCAGTACCAAATTGATTTCCAGAAAGATTGTACCCATTTGCACCGCCTCTGCCCTGCGTCCTACCTGCCCCTCACTCTCATGAGCTTGCGCTTCCACAGGTGAGGGGAAGGCGCCACGGCTCTCAGCCTGGACAGGCATCTTCCCCCTGAGCACGTTTCCTCCTCAATCTCCTCTCCTAGGTCAAGCCGCTGCTGCAGGTGAGCCGGCAGGAGGAGGAGATGATGGCCAAGGAGGAGGAGCTGGTGAAGGTGCGGGAGAAGCAGCTGGCCGCTGAGAGCAGGCTCTCAGAGATGGAGACCCTCCAGTCCCAGGTGGGTGTCTGCAGGCTCTGCCCAGGCAGTGCTGCCACCTGCTGGCAACCAGTAGGCGAGGCATGCCTGGTTAATTTCTCTGCAGACCCTGTTCGGGGTTTCGTGATGTAGGAAGGCTGCTCCATGGGATGGGAAGCTCATGAGTGTTGGGTTCAAGGCCCAGCCCCTCTCTGAGCCTGTTTCCTCGGGATCTTGACGTACAGCTCACGGAGCGGTGGTGAGGGACGGTGGGCGTGATGTTTAAACATGCGGGGCAGCTTAAGCGTCCTGAGATGGGAGCTGCTCTCGTCAGCAGGGTTCTCCCTGCAGGAGCCTGCACTGGAGACCAGTTCTCCTGCGGGTACAAGTGGCCCGAGGCGGCCGTAAGAGCTCACATTTCCCACGTGTTCTCGCAGCTCATGGCTGAGAAGTTGCAGCTGCAGGAGCAGCTCCAGGCAGAAACGGAACTGTGCGCCGAGGCCGAGGAGCTCCGGGCCCGCCTGACCGCCAAGAAGCAGGAGCTCGAAGAGATCTGCCATGACCTGGAGGCCAGGGTGGAGGAGGAGGAAGACCGCTGCCAGCACCTGCAGGCTGAGAAGAGGAAGATGCAGCAGAACATCCAGGTGCCCAGAGGAGGGGCAGGGCCGGACCCCAGGCATGGGGCGACACCATGCGTGGGGAGCAGGGGTGCCACGAGTGCCATGGGAGGACAGCCTTTGTCCCGGGGGCAGCCTTGGAGACGTGTTCTCTTTGGGGCTTTTTTTTTTTTTTTTTTTTTTTACGGCCATGCTGCGCGGCTTGTGGGATCTTAGTTCCCTGACCGGGGATTGAACCCGGGCCCATCAGCAGTGAGAGCTCGGAGTCTTAACCACTGGAGCACCTGGGAATTCCCTGGGTGGTTATTTCTGACGTGTCAGATGCCTGTTAGCGCTGCCCCACTGAGCGTCGAAGCCAATTTAATTCCCCTCCTCCGTCCTGGCTCTGGCTGGTCTGAGGAGCGGAGAGCGGATGCTTGCTGGACGAGGCCCCTCGGAACACGTGACCCCGCGATTGGACTGGGGTTCTTGTCCCCGCACCCTGGTTTTAAATACATGACCGCACACGTGGGGGCCGGGCTGCATGCAAGTTGCTCAGGTGTCGCCCCGGCTTCCCGTTAGGAACTGGAGGAACAGCTGGAGGAAGAGGAGAGCGCCCGGCAGAAGCTTCAGCTGGAGAAGGTGACCACTGAGGCCAAGCTGAAGAAGCTGGAGGAGGGCCAGATCATCCTGGAGGACCAGAACTGCAAGCTGGCCAAGGTGGGGCGGCAGCCCGGCAGCCGGGGCACGGGGGCGAGCGGCTGGGGCAGCGGCTCCAGGCTCGGGGCTGCGGCTGGGTCCCTGTCAGCGTCCGCCTGGCGACAGATAACAGCTGGGAATCAAGTTAGAGGAGAAGGAGGGACAAGGTCAGGATGCTGACCTCCATCTCCAGAGGATGGGGGTGGCCAGGTTGACAGGGCAGGGCGGCTGCCCGCGACCCTGTGATGTGGGGAGTTACGCTGGCTGTGTGGCCGCCACTGTGGGATTAGGACTCCACTGGTGGCCACACAGAGCAGAAAGTGAGAAGGGCAGGGGCACTTTGGGGGATGAGGAAGGGGGAGGTCGAAGGCATGCAGGAGGTGGCGTCATCCCGCCTGCCCTGAATTCCCTCACTGACGCTCACTGTTACCTGGCGGCTCTTCTCACCTGAGCAGAAAGGGGTGACGCAGGCCCAGCTATTGCAGGGGAGCTAGTGACCTTTCCGAATGACTCCTTTGATCTAGGAAATCCTAATGAACTTGACCAGGTGTTTAAGGCCCTGCCCCGCCATTCAGTCCTCAGTGTCGGGGTGAGCCGTGCCTTGAGGAGAGCTGACATGTCCTGCGCTCAACTGACTTTAAGCTCTGACCCACCCTCGCCCCCCAGGAGAAGAAGCTGCTGGAAGACAGAATAGCCGAGTTCACCACCAACCTCACGGAAGAGGAGGAGAAATCTAAGAGCCTGGCCAAGCTCAAGAACAAGCACGAGGCGATGATCACCGACCTGGAGGGTAAGGGGGTGGCGGCAGCAATGGTCGGACTCGGGATCGCTCGAGTGTCCCCTGCTCGGGGGCCCAGCCTGGGCCTCGCTGCCAGGAGCTGGAGTGCCGGCCGGGTCTCCCGCTCGCTCTGTGCGGGCGAGGCTGGGGTCTGTGGTATCCGGCCGCTGCCCTCGAGACATGGGGGTCAGCGCCCGCTCCCTGTGGAGTCTGGACCTCCAGGCACTGGTTGGGAGGGACGCTCCCCCAAGTGACGAGTGTTGAGAATTGAGCTCTGGCGTTTCTCTCGTGTCGCGCACCATGCGTTTCCCAAGCTTCTGAGACTTCCTAGGAGCTTCTAGCTTTCACTGCGACTCTGCCACTTACTAGCTGTGTCATCTTGTACCTATTAATCTCCGTGAGCTTGAGTTTCTCTTACCTCTAAGGGGACACGGCGAAAGGGTGAGTGTGAGGAATGAACTGAATAACGTGCATGGACGTGCTGTGTGTGTTGTAAGATGCCGGGCAGGTATCGCGAGAGGCCGTTGCTTCACGTGGGGCAGGGAGACAAACCGTGCCTCCGTCTCCCTGTGCCCTGGGATCCGTGGTGGCTGGGAGGTTGGCACAAGCCCAGCTCTGTGCTGTCTGGGGACCCCTTGTCCCCCTGCCCCTTGAGAGGAGTGGTACCGGGGGCAAGGTGAGCCCAGACCACCGGGGGGGCTCTGAGCTCCAGCCAGAAACCACTGCTCCCTCTGGAGAGGCGTGGGGCAGCCCGGTGCGCAGGGCAGTTGTCAGTGCCCAGTGGACGTAGGGCTGAAACCATCTGGGCTGGTCGCTAGGAGAATTTTCCCAGCTTGGTTTCTTGGCCCCTCCTGGGTGAAGGTGTTCAGACCATCAAGGGGAAGAGACGTCCTGACACAGAGATCTCTTCACCTGGGAATAGTCTGAAAGACTCCATCATCCAGGAGGTCTTGGGGCAGCAGGCCGGCTGGATTGGCAGACGTGAAAGTTTGACACTAACAAGTGTTGCCAAAGATGTAGAACAGTCAGAACACACACACGCTGCCAGTGGGAGTATAACTTGATAGACAGTTTCGGAGAACAGTCTGCCAGTGCCTAGTGAGGTTGAAGCTTTGCCTGCAACCCATCCCTCTTGTCCATGTGCATTGGGAGTCATGGGCAAGAATGCTCACGGCATCGTGGCTTAGGAGGGCACACAGCTGTAGGCTGTGCCCATCCTACAAGTGCCCATCAGCTGTAGGATAGACAGGTAAGTTGTGGTGTGTTCACATGGTGGAACACACAGACAGAAGTCCAAATGGGTCGATTACAGTGACACTTACGTTGCTAAATCTCAAGATTTTAATGTTGAGCGACCAAGGTAAGATGAGGAATAAGAGTCGCCAGCCCTTGCTGCGCACTCTATGGGCAGGCACGGTTCCAGGTGCTTTCAGATACCAACGCATTTGAGCCTCCCAGCAGCCTAAGGAAGTAGCTTGTCTTATAGCCTTACTACTCAGATGAGGCACAGAAAGTTAAGGACATCACCTAGGTGACGTCATAACAGGAGTCGTAAAGCCCATTGGTCCCGCTGTACCGTCTCCATAGAATTCATATAGGACAGATCCCTAATGTAAGTTCAGATTCATGCAGGACTAAATGTTATAATTTTTAGGGAGGCAGACATGGTGGAGCCTCAAAGGGAAACGAGGGAACTATAAACATGAACTTTGGGGGAAGAGTTCCCTTGGTGGGAAGGGTCAGTGGGTGGGGTTGGAGAGACAAGGACTTGGAAGCTTATGGTGACGTTCTTGCCCTTCATCCAGGAGTTGGGTATGAGTGTGAATCATGATCATTTAAACAGCACGGATGTTTTGTAACAAATATTTGGCATTTTATGTGAGATTTGAAGACAAAGACAGATCTGTAGCCACTGAGGGGTCTGTTCGCATCTCTCCATTCTTCCTTCTTAGAGCGCCTGCGAAGAGAGGAGAAGCAGCGTCAGGAGCTGGAGAAGACCCGCCGGAAGCTAGAAGGAGACTCCACGGACCTCAGTGACCAGATCGCCGAGCTGCAGGCTCAGATTGCTGAGCTCAAGATGCAGCTGGCCAAGAAAGAGGAGGAGCTCCAGGCTGCCCTGGCCAGGTGAGGGCCAGAGCATCAGCCAGCGCCTGCACTCTCAGCGTGCTCCCTGCTGTGGCTCTCGGTGCACCAGTGAACTGCGGGCACGCGCTCTGCTGTTGTCTTGGAAGCCAATTAATGACAAAACATCTTCTATTCACTAAAAGTGCAGTCTAAGGCTTCTCTGTCATTTGTAATCCCCCCAAAATTCATCCACAACCCTAGTCATCCAATCATAGCAATTCTTCCCTTTCCTTTTTAAAATTTCATGGCTACAGGCATGCTTTTAAAAAATAGATTTTATTTTTCCAGGCATATTTAGATTCATAACAAAATTGAGCAGAAGTTACAGCGAATTCCCAAGTCCCCACGTGAACAGCCTCCCTCATTAGCAACCTCCCCCGCAAGAGTGATACATTTGTTACAATTCATGAATGTGCACTGACACATCATTATCACCCAAAGTCGGAGCACATTTGTATTTCTACTTAGTTGCTGTAATCATGGACTGTAGCATTTTATTTCCTTTTTTTTTTTCAGTTAACATTTCATTTTTTTTTAATGTTTAAAGGACTGAATCTTAATTTGGAAAATGAAATGATTCTTCTGTAGGTTTTTGAATTCTCAAAGTGGAATAGCGCTAAGTCTTCTGAGTGCGTCAGATGTTTTCGCTGAGAAGAGCTCCTAAGGGCCATGATTATGACTGCCAGAAGTGGCTTTGGCTGCACCTCTCTGAAGCCTTTTCTGCAGACTCTGCTCTCTGTAGGTGACAGTGACCTCATCCTGATGTTGTTGCTCTCTTTGGCAGAGTGGAAGAAGAAGCCGCCCAGAAGAACATGGCCCTAAAGAAGATCCGGGAGCTGGAATCTCAGATTTCCGAACTCCAAGAAGACCTGGAGTCTGAGCGTGCTGCTAGGAATAAAGCTGAGAAGCAGAAACGGGACCTCGGGGAGGAGCTGGAGGCTCTAAAAACAGAGCTGGAGGACACTCTGGACTCCACGGCTGCCCAGCAGGAGCTCAGGTGTGTCTTGGGACCGACCGCCCCAGTCGCTGAGGGATAGGGGTGGTGGTGCAGGGAAGGGGAGGCTGTGGCCTGGGACGGATGGACCCCAAGTCTCTGCATACACACAGTGGCCAATTGTCATGGAGCAGAGAGCTCGGAAGCTGATGGTTCGTCAGCAGCTTCTCCCTAGAGTAGAAGAACTTGGCTTGGAGTTGGGGTGAGGCAAGGGTGGGCTTTAAAGCTGAAAGGCTACAGATGCCTCTACGAAGTGTGTCTGTGGGGAATTCCCTTGCAGTCCGGTGGTTGGGACGCTGCGCTTCCACTGCAGGGGGCACGAGTTCCATCCCTGTTGGGAAGCGAAGATCCTGCATGCCGCGGCCAAATAAATCAATTAATTAATTTAATTAATCTGCTTATAACTCACTCCTGGCTCCTCGTATTTAGAATAAAATCCAATTCCTTACATAAAAGGCCTACAGTACATTTTAAAAAAAAAAAAAAAAAAAAAAAGCGTGTCTGTGAGCCTGGGCTGTAGGCTGGATGGCCATGGAGAGAGGCCAGCGGGCAGAAAGCTTCCTGGGGTGGCCAGTGCCCCTTGCCGGGTGCTCTCTGCTGCCACAGAAGAGCCCCAGGGCAGCACCGCTCCTGGATCCCTGGCCTCCCTCCTGAGGGCGTTTCTCTGTCCAGGTCCAAACGTGAACAGGAAGTGAACATCCTGAAGAAGACCCTCGAGGAGGAGGCAAAGACCCACGAGGCCCAGATCCAGGAGATGAGACAGAAGCACTCGCAGGCCGTGGAGGAGCTGGCAGAGCAGCTGGAGCAGACGAAGCGGGTGCGTGGGCCTCCCCAGGACTGGCTCCGTGAGGCTCTGCCACGGTCAGGGGGCCCTTGCAGGGTCTAGGCTCCAGCCCCTCGTGGCTGTGTGACTTGGGGATGTAGGTCCCTCTGTGCCTCAGTTTCCCCATCTGTAAGGGAGGCTGATGATAGCCCGTCTCCTACAATTAATGTGAGAGTTGGAGTTGGTAACATGTGAGGCACTTGGATAGTAAGGGCTCGGTAAGTTGTTCAAGAATCATTTATTCTCATTATTATCTTGTTCATCAACCTGCCAGACCAGAACATTTCATGGAATTGGAGCGACTCTGAGTTTCAGAGGGCCATCGGGGTCCCCTTTTCTGAAGCCCATCCCTTCTCTAGAACACCCCCAACAGGTGGCCAGTTGGAGTCTTCGTGGGAGAACCCTGGGGATGTTGACCCCAGATGGTTTCTCGGCTGTGGCCGGGCAGTTCCTGAACAAGGCCAGTCCTGCATCCGGTGGCCTCCAGCTCACGGCCACCCTTGGTGGCAGCCCGAGAAGGCAGAGGCTCTTCCACACGGCAACCTGTGCAACATTTTCAGAAACCTGCCTTGTCTGCCTTCAATTTCCACCTGGTTCTGGGCAGGTTGAAGCCTTGCCTGGCCCTTTAGCTGTTTTCACCCAAAGTGACTTTGCATTCACGCTGGGTCCGGTTTACCCTTGAACTTGCCCGTGATGCTGTGGCCGGCTCGGTACGGACTAGATTGGGATTGTCGTGTTTATTCTGTAAACTCGGCTTTTATGTTGTTTGGAAGAACATCACTGTGTTACTTTGAACATCAGATTTTCAAGAGGCTTTTCTGGAAGTCTACCTACGAACAATTATAATTTCCATCACCCTATAATAACAGCTAAAATCTTAACATCTGCACTGATGGCATCTTGCCCTTGGACGCTCCCTGAAGCCGGTGCAGGAGGCCGGGCAGGGATGGTGTGAGAGCTGGGGGAGCCCACGTGCCGGGTGTCCGGCCCCAGCTGGGTGCTGAGTTCACATCAGGCCCGAGCCTTCCGAGTCTGGGACCCTTGCCAGCTCGTCATCCCCCAGACTTGCCCAGTGTCGTTTTTGCTGCAAAGGCAGCCGATTCTGGGTCTGGACCCGCCGGATCGTCAATGATGTTAGAAAGACCAGCCTCACATCACAGGTGCCCCCTTTCACGTCTTCGCTTTTCTCCCCGCTGCCAGGTGAAAGCCAACCTCGAGAAGGCCAAGCAGACCCTGGAGAATGAGCGAGGGGAGCTGGCCAACGAGGTGAAGGTGCTACTTCAGGGCAAGGGGGACTCCGAGCACAAGCGCAAGAAGGTGGAGGCCCAGCTTCAGGAGCTGCAGGTCAAGTTCACCGAGGGGGAGCGCGTGCGCACGGAGCTGGCCGACAAGGTCTCCAAGCTGCAGGTGAGGCCTCCGCCGGACCTCCTGGGTCCTGGCCCACGTCGCCAGGGCTCCCGCTCTTGTCTCTCTCTCTCTCTCTCTCTCTCTCTCTCTGTCTCTGCAACCTGGGTCAATCTGCAAGGTCTCTGGGGTTCAGCCTGTGACTCAGGTCCAGCATGGCCGAGAGAGCCGAGGTGGGGCCCAAGCGGTCGTGGTCGAGCTCACGGGGCTTTGTCTCCCATCCGTGCGCAGGTCGAGCTGGACAATGTGACGGGTCTTCTCACCCAGTCGGACAGCAAGTCCAGCAAGCTCACCAAGGACTTCTCCACTCTGGAGTCACAGCTGCAGGACACGCAGGTAAGGGCGGGACGGGTCCTGTGCCCGCACCGCATTAGCTGCCAGGCTTCTGGGTCTTTGTCTCAGAGCGTCCTCCCCTGCATCCGCGG